GCTTGAGAAATGGCGCACACACGACCGGGACATGTTTGCCGGGCACAATGACTCAGTTCTGCAGGCTGGGGCAGCCGTTTCACGTCCGGAGTCAGACATACACCATCAGTTGTCCCCGTATCACACAGTCAAGATGAAGGTTGGACCGGCGAGGATGACCGAGGAGTCCACCTGGGAGAAGCGGTTCATTGGCTTGACTGTGCTTGGTGCATGTGCTGCCGTCTGGCTCGGCGGCTCTGTTCTAGGCGCGAGCTCTGCTTGATTTGGGATGTCGTATGGCGTGTAAAGCGTGTCCAGTTTTCGTATATTCTATTTGTGTTCATTTCCACTATACCTAAGCTCGTTCGTTATTAATCTTTCTCTCTCTCTCTCTTTTTTCTGTTCCTTCTTCTCATGATCACGAAACTACTTGCTTATTAATGGTCTTGCTAACCAAGATGATTGTGATGACTGGGCGTAGTGGCGCAGAGGAACCGGCGGCAATTGCTTTTCTGACCATATTCAAACAATGATCGCAAACGCAAATCTATCTGGAACCGGGTATGATATCGTCGATTTTAGGACGAACTCATACAAGGCAATCCTATCCTTGGTCTGATTACGGAGAAATCAATGTTCATTCGCATGTGGTACAACATCTAACTATAAGCAGGAACGAACCCCTCCGAGACAAACAGGTACATACAGTACAAGCGCGTAACACGAGAGACGGAAGTGTGTGAGAAGAATTGGAAACATTGTCAGCCCTTCCCTCGCAACACCAGCAACTGAAAGTATGCCGAAGGTCTCCAGCAAAAAGAAGAAAAGAAAAACAGGAAAGAGAGAAAGAGCACTGGGCACTGGGCACCTCCTGGCAAGGGAAGGCTGAGGGAAAGGGGAAATTCTTCAGTGGAAACCAATTGAATTGGGAGTAAAGCAATGAATCCTAAAAGAGAAAAAGAAGGCTTGGCAGAAACTCGACCTCCCGCACGTGCCAGACGCGTCGTCGGGCCCTGGAGATGCGCGACGGGAAAACCGATTATTACTTCGTTACTTCTGTTAACTTACTTTAGCCGCTCAACTGCCCTACTTTGCCCTCTCTTGACTCGATCTCAATTGTCCCCAATAAACATCTTACCCCTCTTAGACAATGGAGTCTTTGACCTTCTAGAATTTGTTCTTCCCTTAACTTGCAAGAGATTGCTCCTCCTACTTCTCTCCCTCCCATTGTTATCCCACCATCTTTCTATCTAAACCCCCCCACGGAGTTGGGGCCTGTGGAAGGGGGCCCTTTCTGTCGCTGCTGCTGGTGCTGCTGGTGCTAGTGGTCCTGCTGCTCCTCGCACTTCACTGTCTACTTTACCAGTTTGTTGAAAACTTTCCCCCGAATACTATCATTAACCCGCGCATACATACGCGCGCGCGCGTGTGTGGAGGTGATTCTCGATAAGAACTTACCCACCTAAAAGAAAAGACCGGCCCAACGGACCTTACCTTCCACGTTCGAGTCGAGGAGAGAAGTAGTGCGGCGGGGGTGTGTCTTTTCGCGCCTTGCTTAGTTTTCACCCACCGCCATGTATCTCCCTCGTCAACTCATCTCCCATCTATACCTACAATTACTCCGCTCACATCACCCATTGTCCCCACCGGTGCTCATCCTCGTCGCCCTTGAACCCGATGCGCTCTGTGCCTGTCGAATCCTGACCGCCCTACTCAAGCGCGACTATATCCCCCACAAGATCCAACCCGTGGCCGGCTATGGTGATCTCTCGCGCGCCGGCGAGGAGCTGGTCAAACCCATGCGGACGACGAATGGCGGTAGCGGGGGTGTTGTCATCTGTCTCGGGGTGGGTGGCTTGGTTGACCTGACCGAGATCTTGTGCTTGAGTGGCCCGGACGAGGAAGACGAAAACAATAACGAGGATGACGAGGGACGAGGGGCACAGGATATGGGAGGGGTGGAGGTTTGGGTGTTCGACGCACGACGGCCCTGGAACCTATCCAATGTGTTCGGGGGCGAGGCTATCACTGATGCTGGTGGCATAGCAGACACTGGTACCGGCAATGAGAGACGGAAACTGCGCGGGGTGGACAGAGGGTGCATCACACCCGGGTACGCATCGGGCAATGGGGGCATTGTGGTCTACGACGACGGAGATATTGAGGAGGAGCTCGGTAAGGAGCGAGAGGCGTATTGTGAATTGATGGCGATGCCGGAGGTGGATGAGGAAGCAGATGATTTTGACGACATTGACGCCGATGGATCGGAGAGCGACGGTCAAGCCGATCATCCTTCTAGCTCGGATTCCAAGAAGCGGAAGTCGTGGTCGCGCCAGGACGATGAGGACGAATCCGACGAGGACGACGGTCCGCCTCGTCAGCGTAGGAGGAGTGATTCGGTATGTTTTGTTTGTCCGCGGTACTCGCGGCGGTTGTTCTTCGAGGCTAACCTGATTGCTCTCGTGCAGGGCTCGTATATCATCTCATCTCCAAGTCGTCCCCGAAGGATGGGGCACGATTCCTCTAACTCCTCTCGCTCCGTTACGCCGACGTCGGACTCGCCATCCCCCATACATCCCAAACCGCCTTCTGAACGGTCCTTAAGGCGTCGGTTGCTTCGAATGCGAAGGAAATATGAAGGCCTCTTGCAGAGTTACTATAACTCCGGCACGTCGTACTCGGAGCCGATATCGTCCCTTGTATATTCACTTGCGTCCGAGCTTGGTCGAGAAGATAATGATCTACTGTGGCTGGCCATTGTAGGTGTGTCGAGCTTGGAACTTAGTGGCCGAACGATGTCCGGCGTGGGCGTTTCTAACGCGCTGGAGTATGGTGGCTCGGCTGGTTGGGGCGGAGAACGAGGCGAACGAATACGGCAGATCATGAGAGATGAAGTCCACCGATTAAACCCTCCAGATCCCTACGAGCGCGACATCAGAGGCGAAATCAACGGTGTCATCCCGACCACTGCTCGGTCACCAACCGACAAGTCAATCCGACTCTCTCCCGAGCCTCGGTTCCTTCTCATTCGACACTGGTCGCTCTACGACAGTATGCTTCATAGCCCCTACCTGGCATCAAGATTACATGTCTGGACGGAACATGGTAAGAAGCGATTACACAAACTGCTCGCGAAGATGGGCATCAGTCTTAATCAAAGTCACCAAAACTATACTCACATGGATATGGAACTTAAGCGAGTATTACGGCAGCGTCTGCTCAAATACGCACCCATGTACGGACTCGATGGGCTTGTTCCTCCCGAAGCCTCCGGTCATGCTGCATCTCGTGAAGGGTGGGGTTTCGTCCGCTGCTGGGGTTGGAAAGCTTGCCTTTCTGCCACTGACGTCGGCGTTATCATTGGTGCTATTCTAGAGGTTGGCCCGGAGGATGCTCCTGGCACGTGGGATGCGAAACGGCTATCGAAACCTGCCCTCGAGACGAATGACGATGTATCTACTGAATCTGACCTGTCCAGTCTTCTCCCCCGGTTTTGGAGTGCGTATGATGCGCTGTCACTGACATCGGAGTCGCCGACGCTGCTCCTCGGCTCACTTTCTCTTGCACAACATCTCCACCGCGCCATCCTGCGCACTGGTACATCGTTGTTGTCCAAACATCAGATCCGGCACTTGCGCGCATTCCGCATTGCCGTTGTCAAGGACGGCCCGGATCTCAAATTGTTCACCAACCCTGGAGCGCTGACGAAGTTGGCTCTCTGGGTCGCGGAGGCCATCCGCGTGCAGGAACGGGAACGAGCGGATACCGTCAAAATCGGCCGCAGACGGGCTGTTGGCACCCCATTAGTTCTGGCCGGGCTTGATGAGGATCGAGGTCTTTATGTGGTCGTCGGCACAGGAGGTGGAGGAGGTGTTGTCGACTTTGCTGCTCTAACCAAACGCCGCGAGGAGAGACGGCGGAAAAAGGAGTCCAAGGAGAAAAGCCGGAAAGAGCGAGAGCAGCGTCGAGTCAAACGCGCTGCGGAGCGTGCAGCAAGGGATGATGACGAGCACGAGGACGAGGACGAGGAAACCGAAGAATCCTCCTCAGAGTCCGAATCGGAATCCGAGGACGAGCAGGACCTGCGTGGCAACAAGCACCTTCTGCGGAATCGGTTTGGGATTGCCTTCCAGGAAGTGGTCCAAGAGACCAGTGCCCGCGTCCGCATCGATAGTTTCGAGCACTGCGTGGTCGAGGTGCAGAAGGAGGATCTAGGAGGCTTTCTCGAAGCTCTCAGCTTCCGCAGCGTTGTTGGCTGATAGCCGCGGCTGGCAAAATGTTCTTAGGCTTATGCCGCGACCCATCCCTTTGTTACTGTTTCATGCTCTATAATCATCTTGATGCGCCTGCTGACACACCAATCTCTTATTCCCTAGTCATGTTTGAGGCGGTATATGGACGTTTTGATACTCTATCTTGCACGGGATGCAGCTTCGAGGAGTGCCGGTGAATTTTTTGTTTTCTGTTTTCTTTTCTGCTTTAAAGTTCTGGAAGACATAAAAGGAGGAGGACATGCATAATGACAGGTTGATGACCATCTTTGCGATCATTCGACTTTCTTTTTTTTTCTTTCTCACTGTGTTCAATGACTGTGACATCTTCAGGTTGGTTGGTTGTGGGAATTGACACTTTTGGATATAGCTGCATTCTGTCATTGGTTGCTTTGCTTCACTCATGATGACTGATTTGCATCTCCGCACATTGTCATGGCGCTTGTGGTGTTTTGAGTGGATTGGCTGCTGACTGTTGTTGATGTCCTGGTCTTCTTTTCCTGTGCATAGCATATAGCATCATGCATTCAGCAAGATATGATTTTTTCTCTTATTTCTCTCGACCGAGTGGAGTGACTGAAGATTGGAGACACGGGGAGTTCGGCTTTCTGTCCGATCTTCCTCACTCTCTCCCCGCTTTATCTCCCCACATCGCCTTATCTTTCCAGTCTATTTATTGCGCCCTCACCACAACAAACCCCCCCCCATCATGTTCCGAATAACCAAGCCATAGAAAACTTCATACTCACCATGGCTAGTATTCGCAAATACCCGGTGCTGTCGCGCCAAAGCACCCTGGCTCAATTGCCCCCTGAGTCCACCATCGACGCTGAAGCCCAGATCGCCAAGCTCCTCTCGACCACCTCACCCAGTCGTCTCGTCGTGCTTGATGACGACCCCACTGGCACCCAAACCTGCCATGACATCGCTGTCCTTACCGTATGGGACATTGACACCCTTGTCAAGGAGTTCCGCCAACCGTCCGGCGGGTTCTTCATCCTGACTAACTCGCGCGCTTTTCCCGCCAGCGAAGCCGAGCAGCTGATCCGCACCATCTGCGAGAACGTCGCCGAAGCCGCCGCACGCACCCATCAGACAGTGGACATCGTCCTCCGCGGTGACAGCACGCTGCGCGGCCACTTCCCCCTCGAAGCCGACGTCGCGCAGTCGGTGTTCGGCCCCGCCGCAGCCATCATCCTCGCCCCCTTCTTCTTCCAAGGCGGCCGCCTCACCATCAACGACGTACACTACGTCGCCGAGGGTGACTCACTCGTTCCTGCGGGCACCACCCCGTTCGCGCGCGATGCCACCTTCGGATTCCACAGTTCCGACCTCAGGGACTACGTGATGGAGAAAGCACCGGGACGGTTCAGCCCCCAGGACATCCACTCGATCACCATCGAGGATATTCGTCTCGGAGGACCGGAAGTCGTGTGCGAGAAGATGCGACAGATTCCCGAAGGCAATGTGGTAATCGTGAACGCCGCCGCGGAGTCGGATATGCATGTTTTTGTCGCCGGGTTACTTCTGGGTATGTCCCCCGGCCCCTATTCTTTCCTCATCCCGGATCAGAAACAAGGTGCATGGCGGATAACCCCCCAAACATCTCTTTCCCTTCCTCCTACATCTGGTCACCCATGCTGAATAAACAACCTATACTATCAAGCCAAATCCCAATCCCCGTCCGCAAAACCCTACCTCCACCGCACGGCCGCCTCGTTCGTCTCCACCCGCCTCTCCATCCCCACCATTTCCCCCCTCACAGCAACCGCTCTCGACCTCCCGCACCCCAAAAGTACAGGGGGGCTCATCCTGGCCGGCTCGTACGTGCCCAAGACCACCGCGCAACTCAAGTCTCTAACGGACCGCCACGGGCCGACGGGCACCAACGCCCTCGCCATCCTGACCCTCGATGTCCCTGCGCTCCTTACCCAGCCTACCCCTTCTCCCATCGCCAACGCCACCGATGACAAGACCCCCAGAATTCACACCGCAATGGCAGACCTCGTTACCCACATCCAGACGTCCTTGCAAGCAGGGAAGGACACCTTGGTGATGACGAGTCGGGATCTCGTGACCGGTGACGGAGGAGGGGAGAGTCTAAAGATCGGAGGAAGAGTGGCAGAGGCTTTAGTGGAGGTGTTGAGGGGGGTGGTCGCTGGGGTAAGGCCGCGGTATATTGTTGCTAAGGTTCGTAGAGCAAATTCGTTTTTTTTGTTTTTTTTTTTTTTCCTTTGCGGCTCGTTTCCTGGCTCGATGTTTTTCTATGTGGTTTCGCTCAGATGGGCTTGGGAATTCTGGGACCTTGCGGGGTTTGCTCTAAAGGGTTTTGACTGATTGCCCATGACTGGATGGCTGACTTTTCTGGTGGTTCTGGCAATAGGGTGGGATCACTTCGTCCGATGCGGCAACGAAAGGACTGGAGATCAGGCGCGCCATGGTGGTCGGCCAGGCGGCGCCGGGAGTGCCAATTTGGCGTTGCGATGAGCCAACCTCGCGACATGCGGGGATTCCGTTTGTGGTATTCCCGGGTAATGTCGGTGGGGAGGGAACATTGTGTGAGCTGGTTGAGGCGTGGAGTTGACTAGAGTGATGTTCGGTTACGACAAAATTGGGTGTGCATATACCACACTAATCATACTGATAGAAGTCATTCATAGACATTATACGGCGTCAAATCAGTGGAAGGACAGCTAAATCTGAAACTGAGATTGTGTTAGAGTGGCCCCATGGCCACGGAATGTGTAGCTTTATTCGACTAGACCTAACTGGCAGATACACCAGCACCTAAGTCAAAGCATGCAAGGCATTATGTACAGCGGTTAACCGTCGGTTCCTGAAAAGCGGCTCCAAATGATATCCTGTACCCTTACGGCCATTGAGTCATGGGAAGATAGCTGTCCGGCTCTTACGACCAATTACAAACCGGCGGCACCTCATTGATGCGAGGCATGACCATCTGTAGTATGCCACTGGCTGGCTGGCAGGGATATGAGGAGTACGAAGTGAAGACTGGAAGCAGCGCAAAGAAAGACGATCAGGGCAGAGAAGTGTAGAAGAACCAACCTTGAAAAAGTTTTGCCGGTAGGCGTCGACTTGTTCGCAATGCAAGCAATCCGGATACCAGATCAACTGGGTAATCGGTCAGATACGGCTGCGATTGTGTTTTTATCAATGCTTGTTCGTCCAGAGCAAGGGAACGGCTTATTTCGAACCCAAATACCGTTCATCAATTTCTGGCCCTCGGCTTGTGTTTGGTGGGGAGCAGGCCCCGGTGGAATTGTGTTCTCGGATGCACTATACCACGACTCACGCGGGCGTGGTTGCAGTGCTAGCCACCCCGTTGGAGATACCATTGGATGTGACCTGGCGCTTGGCAGCCGATTGGGATGCGTCCTGTGAAATCAGTTGATATCAGTTATATCCAGACATCGGATCTGACAAGTTTCACACGATACGCGATGATGCGCATTTCGTTACGTGGGCTAGCGCCGCTTCGTGATATACTTTGACTATCTTGTTTGCACTTACGTCCAATGAATCGATGCTCCGCTTGTGGCCGCTTGTGTCGGACTTCTTAATGACCTTCTTCTTCGGCCGAAGGGGCTTCTTCTCTCCGGGTTGGAAAACATCATCCGGCAGGTCGAAACTGGCAATGATCATCAGCATAAGATTTGCTTGTGTAGTGCATGAGACACTTACTTGCGAACATGAGTGATAGCCACATCCATGACCCCGGGCTGATATCCAGGCCATGTGGTGCAAAGAGACTTGAACAGCTGGGCATCGGATGAGATATCCAATGACCGTGAGGCACCTTCACAGGTCAGCGAGTTCACAGGTGAGGCGCATTTGACGTACCTGGTTCGAGTGGTTTCAGCTCCAGCCCAATATAGTACGTTGCCGTATACATGACTCGAGTGTCCTCGGCAGCTTTCTCTTCCGTAGCCGGAATCTCTTTATTTTCCGCACCGTTTTGCGCAGCAGCTTCGTGGGCCGCATCCTTAGTCTCATCAGTGGTCTCGGTTTTGATTTCCCTATCCTGGTACTTAGTAGAGCCAGTCTTGACTGCCTCAATTTCCTCCTCGGAAGAAACCTTGTGTACCCTCTCGAAACCTTTAGGGAATGGATGGGCGACGGCAATTGTAGCCTTCCTGTCAAGGGCACCGACGAGGTGGCGGATTTTAGATTCCACAAGACCAGACCACACCGACTCTGCTTCCTTGGTTCGGCTGGAAGCCGTAATGCTGAGGTAGTATTTGTAGTCCTGAGTGAAGAACGTGTGCCGTTTGAACAAATCATTCCAGTTGAGCTGCTTCATGAAAATCTTATCCACAATGTCACCGCCCCTCTGTAACTCTCGAAGAATCACAGTCTTGGTTGACACGGAAACATTGTGAGTAGCGCACATGGAGGGATAGGCAGGCGTGATAATGGGCATCAAATGGAACCGATCACCGTTGTAGATCTATACTGACATCAGTTACTCACCTCGCCACGCATCGTTACTTTTCTCGGAGAAGCTTTACCTTAGGGTTCCACACTTTCATTTGGAGAGGGCCATCTTCAATTGGCTTCAGTAAGACGGGCTGAGGCCAGGCCCACTTTGTCATGATCCGGAAGAATTTGCCAACAATGACTGAGCCGGTGGCTTGAGGGTATAGTTGACACACTCGTGCGACAAGCATTGCCCAAGCAACGCCACCTGGGAATCCCACAACATTGGCATAAATCGCTCGCTCTAATCAGAAGAGGTGATATTAGCGCAACAAGAAATATAGTCTGAGACCATGGACATGGGCACTTACGCTGTGCCCACAGCTTAATGGCGCGCAAGGCCAGGCGGAAGGTTTTTTGCTGAGGTACAAGCTCCAGAATCTGGTCGGTCACACGGGTTCCATTGAGCGACCGAACTTCCTTTTCATCCAAGCCTCGCAGATAATCATTGTTTTTTAGGTCGAGACTCATAGGCACGGATGGTACGATCAGGCGCGCGAATATCAGATCGATGCTAATGCCCGACAGCTCCATCTTTATGATTGGGACGAACGCATCGGGGACTGGTGTCATTTTCTCGATTGCTCCAGGTGGAGCCATCTGTTCAAGGACAAGGGGGAATTCAGCAAAGAAATCGTCGATGACGACATGCTTGGGTCCGACCACCAGCGTATCAATATCCGAACCTATTGACAAAAGGCATCAATATCCCTGATCTTAGCTCTGACAGGCAAATTCGGCCAAACCAACCTGGCCCATAAACACCAAGGCGGTAACTGCCGTATGTGAGAATCTTCCCTCCAGCTGCCTCCACGGCTGCAGGGGAGAGACCCTTCTTGCGGCTGACAACTTTGACAAACTCGATGGCGACACGCTGAAGAAGTTGAAGGACTTGTTGTCTAGGGTGCACAAGCAAAGTCAGCATCTTTCTGAAGCAGCTTCAGCCAAACCTGAGAGGATCCGTCTCACCTCCGTTCGGTCTCCGCCGGACTTTCGAAGTTATTCTGCGCCTTCAGCTCGGAAATCAGATCATCGTTGGCGGTAAGCTCATCTGGAGTAGGAAGGGCGGTGGAAATCGGAGGAGTGACTCCCCACTGCCTGGCTGGTGGTGCTGTCATGTTGGCTCTTTCGTCTGTCGAGTGTTACAGGATAAAGCGGTTGCGCCGAATAGGCGCTGGGTAGGCAGGCAGGCGACTAGATACGGAATAGGCGCGAAAAGTGAAGGAAAGACTTTACAAATTGTGGAATAGGAAATCACCAGCTATGATGAAAGGAATATCTTAGAGCGTGGTAGTGACAATATGAAAGGGGGAGGATTAAAAGGGAAGGTAAGGAAAAGTGGCTGGAATTGTAACAGCTGCTTTGATCGATTCGGAGTTGGAAATGAGGAGGCGCTTGAAGGTTTATCGCCGGCCACCAGATCAGCAGCTGATTCAGCATTCCAGCCCCATCACGTGCGTGTGGATGATGGTTGATTGCGGGAAAGCACAATCCAATTCACTGGGAAGTTCGGTTACAGGTTCACGACAGTCTGTTTGAATACTAACTTATTACTTGCTGCTTGGATCCACCTTAATCATTACTAGTGCCCTCCCAAGGTCATAGACTTGAGCTTCTCCCCCAATGTTTCTCTGACAGAAGAGGTTTCCCCGTGAAAAAATTCATTCAACTTCTTGTCCAACCAGCCGAGATCATCCTTACTCAATCCCGGACCACCAGCCCAATCTGTTGAGATATGCCTTAGATTAAAGCCTCAGTCAGGTTGTAGGACAAAACTTACGACCCCAAATCGAGGGGAAAATGCCGAGAGCACCAAGTCCCGGTGCCATACAGGCAACCTCATACTCCGAATCCTCGGGCCTGTGCGGTTGGCTATGAGTTTCTGCCTCAAGATAACACACGCAGCACGACACACTTACGGGAAGTATAGGTCGGTTCTTCCAGGCAAGACCAAGACTTTTGCTCTGATAGAAGCCATGGCCTTCTCGAAATCCCCGTTGTATGGCTCTTGATCTGCCACATTTCCATTCTGCCATGTTTGCAGCATTGTCAGGAGATTGGCTGGGTCTAAAATGCAGGTCCTATCAACGAAGGGTCCTCGGTGCATGCATTCGCGCGTCGCTAGGCTGACCTTTCGAGAGCGCCCAGCTCTCCCAGAAGCTCACCATGAAATCCTCTAGATCTTTGTATCCGAGGACGCTTTCATATAGCTTTTCCCGGTAGAATGCTTGTGAAAATCCCCTTTCACAGAGAGCACGTCAGAATGTCTCCCGCTCCAGACAAAGATTATTCTTACCAGCCAGCATAGCCCCTACCAAAAGCCTTCAGCCCGATTTGTTTCTCTCTCTCGCTCCATGTTCTATCAGACTGACCGGCTTCGAGAACACCGGCATTTCCAGACCCCGCTGAAGAAATGTGCTTCGCTGCGAGTAGTGCACTTTTCACGCCCTCAAGGAATACCTGGTTATGGAGCGACGTCCTGGCTGAACCACAAAATGGCACCACTAAATCCATAAACTCGGGATACTGTGTCGCCCACTGGAAGCTTTGCGCGGCTCCCATTGACCATCCAAGCACTGCACGTAAATGAGGGATGCCTAGATGCTGGGTCACTAGCATATGCTGAGCGCGAACGTTGTCGTAGATGGAGCATTTTGGGAAGGGCCCTTGAATGGGATAATTGGATGGCGATGTTGACTGGCCGTTCCCGAAGAGTGCGGGGATGATTATGTAGTATTTATTGGGGTTAAGGGTTTTGTCCTCTCCGATCAACCAGAGATTGTCGGAGATCTCTGTGTATATCAGCGTAAGTGCACGACTACCTTGTAAGTTGTAAATCAAGTTACATACGGCCTGAGAACCAGGAGGGGTAAACAATGGCGGGCGACTTGGGATCTCCAAACGTCTTGAATGCGATGTAGGCGTCGACCAGCTTCTCCCCGCTCTGAAGCTCCCAATCTCCCAGCTTGAAGGTCTCGTAATCGTTCTTCGTCATCATTTCGAATGAAGAACTATAGAATCTGAGAGGGGAGACTTGCTCGTAGAACAATCACTGGTGCTGATGCTGAAGTGATGGCGATGGGATAGATGGGGAACGAGGGGTCGGTCTGCGAGCCTTGCCTTGCCATGTTTGCCTTTTGTCTTCCTCTTATCGAAGCACCCGATACAGCCGTGTTCCCTGCTTGCTTCTCAGCCGTGCGGGGTTTTATATTCAGCTACGGTTGATGATAACTTGATAAGCCTCCCAATGCTCCCCTGACTTTCCGTCCCGCCGCGGGGCTATTTATTCGGGACGCTTACAAACGGGAGATGCGGCACGGATAACTTATCGACAGTGGGACTTTAATGCCACGCTATATCTTTGCTCTCAACATTCTGGAGTGGCGTGGAAATATGAGCACACTTGTGACACGTCATTGTGGAAATATGGCTCGGTCCTAGCACGGCAACCACACGCCAGATTGAAATCCCGCCCTGTCCTTCGGCTGTCCATTCTCAAGCCCAGTCCCAATGTACCACCGTGTCTCATCAATCACTTTGTGCCACTCTCTGAAGCCGAAATATCATCTTGCGTAAGTCAATAACCCAGACTGGACAGTCTCCATACCCAATGATCGAGCACCACCAGCAGCTTGCTTTACTAACGCATGCCTAGTGTCCCAAAGAGAATTCCCTGTCCCTACATCCGAGCAAGTTGTCCTCCTCGATCCTTTTCTCACTCTTCGAATATGGTCCAAAATCACGACGATTTCGAGAAAGTTCAGGCATCTCGGCCGGACTTCAATCGGGACATCCCCGTCACTTTTTCGAAGCCTCCCAAGCCCGATTGGAAGGAGGGAGACGGAGGCAACGATGGAGGCGAGAGTCTGAAGAAGAACCATGTGCAAATTGACCCGTACGAGGAAGGGCGCCCCGTGGCTTCTAATTACAAACTTCTCATCTCCGGGATGGTCCCCAGACCCATTGCGCTCATCAGCACGAAGTCCAAGGATGGGAAGACAGCCAATCTTGCCCCGTTCAGTTACTCACAGGTTATCAACCATGATCCTCCACTCTTTATTGTGGGCTTTGTTGGCTCCCTTGACAAGGCGAAAGATACCCTGAAGAATCTGGCGGAGACCGAGGAATGTGTGATCAATATCATTTCGGAGCACTTCGTGGAAGCGGCCAATGCGACTGCCATCAATGCTCCCTATGGCGTATCGGAATGGGAGGTCTCGGGATTACACCAAGAGCCCAGTACCATTGTCAAACCAGCTCGGGTCAAAGAGTCCATCATGTCCATTGAAGGGAAGCTTGTCGAGACCAAGGAGTTTGAAAGCCGAACGACCCCGGGGAAGAAGTCCAGTGTCCTCGCGATCATTGAAGGTGTCCGGTTCTGGGTTCGAGATGATGCCATCAATGAGGATAAGAGTATTGTCGATCTCAAGGTTCTCAAGCCCATCAGTCGCCTGGGGGGCATTTCATACGGGCGGACTACGGATGCGTTTGAGATCCCTAGACCGCATTTCTAGATAATATGGAAAGTAAAGTCCAGTGACTTAGGTGGGAGATGTAAAGGTTCCTCGGGTGATGCTTATTGTTATAGCAGCTAGAGGCATGATAGAATGATCGATAGAATTTTTCACAATAGAGAGGGTACGGTGGTCATATGAGTTGAGGAAATCGCGTTGCAAGTTCAGTCCCAAAGATGTGAGTAAAGTCGAACGGCATTCATTGTTGACTGCCTGCGACGTGTTCTAAAGTTAGCGGATGGGAAGGGAAATGAATCAGTGGGGAACGAAAGAGAGCCGACCGAGGAAGTGTTTTGTATGGAATCCGCCCGAGGTGGATCTGCTCGGGTCAACTAAAGCTCGTCCCCCCCCCATACGGAGAACAGCTGGAGCACAGTTTCAGTGCCCGTGTCCACTTTCAAATTCCCCCAGACTCCAACCGCGGAGAGTCCAGACCTTCATCAGACTTCCAGGCGATCATATCTCAGCGTCGAAACTGATCTTCGCTACCCCAGCAACCTCAGGGATAAAGAGGTGACAGAATAAAAGTTGCCTCTATCTTACACAACACACACACACTATCTTTACAGGGCGAAATGACAGGATACTGTGGTGGCCAAGTCCCGTAATGAGGCTGTAAGGGAACTAAATACTTGATAGTCACATGGGCTACAAATCCATCGAAGGCGGGACCAGTCCAATTTTCTTTTCCCCTTTCGTTTCGGTCTTCTTTTCTTCGGCTTGCTTCTGCCGTCCTTCCATAGGGTCTAGCACAGAGACCTCCCTCGTTCCTATGAGTAATTCCAATCAGATATTTCCGTCCAACTTTCGATTTCAATACCTAGCCGGATCGACCGGCTCAAGTTGCTTGATTTGGGATTGTGTTCAAGCGTCACAAGAGGAACCGGTGTCGAATTCATTGAATCACTACAAAGCGGTCAGGCTAGAATCGCTTGGGCTGCCATTCATTCTTGGGGTGGCTTTCTTTTCCGACGCCGCCTCTTTAAGGCAGAAAAGCAGATAAAAAGAACAGGAGCCACAATTGGACTAGTTAGTCCAAGCTGGGGGGGACTACTCCGTACCTAAGCTGCAGTGGCTCTTCTCAACCCAACAACGACTCAGACAGTCATCGCCCGTTGGAGGTCCCCGGGAGGGCATGACCAGGGAGGAACCTCGTACTAACTACTAAGTTAAGTTTCCAACACTACTCCGTAGTCGCTCCTCCCATGAACGATTCGCATTTGTTGTTATCGACTGAAAGAGCACTCGATCCTGCCTCCTCTCGTTAATCTCGGCCACTCGCCCGCTTGGGCTCCTGCGATGAACTTGCACCAGTCACATTCGAAATAGCGCCTGTCCATGGATGTTCCCTTCCGTTCAGTGCTTTCGTCCAGGAATCTCCCTCTTTGTCCCTCTCCGTGACTTCTATACTCCCGGTCTACGATCCCCCTGCGCATCATCTGCGGGTACGATCGATCGCCATAGAGCTTTCAGAATAAACCATCAGGTGCCCAATGTGTCGTGACGCCGGATGACCACTTGCTCGCAATGAGCCATATTTCTTCTCAGAAGAACGGCGGTAATAATGTTCCCCCTCCGCGACAAATTCGCTTTGTGTCGACAGACGGTCAACCTCAGACAAAGCGGCGGCGTGTCAACGCGGCGTAAGTCCTACTGCAAACTGCTTAGTTCTATCCTCTCTTACTGGCTGGAAATTATTCACTGACGGGTGGCTGGGATACCCTTAAGGTGCTTAACATGTCGCAAGCGCAAGATACGATGCTCGGGTGAACAACCAGGTGAGAAGGAGCCAAGATCCTTGAGGCTGTAACCCACCACTAACAGGTCGCATTTGGGTATGTAAGTGTGCAAGACTTGCTCCGACTACAATCATGTATGCCAAGGGTACAGCGAGCCAACAACACATGCCCGATCACAATCTGATTCCAGTGCTCGAGCCGCGACAGTCGCACCTTTATCGATCTCTAGCGAGAATACTTCGCGCGTGGCTCTGAAAGTCGAAACTCGTTCCCCAGATCCTCCCGGTCGAGCTACCGTGCCTCCTGTCGAACGCAATGACAGGCCTGTAGCGGAGCCCATACCGTCGGAAGTGAAAGAGGCCTCATCTGTCAGAGACATATCTTCCCAAACAACGAAAGAGCCTGAGCAGCAGACCTTAGCAGAAAGTCCAGAGAGCAGTATGTGATAGATAGTTCCAACCGTGATTCATAAATGGTGATTGCTCGGTGCTTACCATGTCTCATCTGTCTAGGTCGCACTTCTCTAAGTTCAAGCGCTCGCACACATGTCCCTTATTTCAGGTATTTTGGGCCAACCGCTATAGTTCCCGGCTTCAAGCAGATGGTTTGAATCCCACCAATAAAGGGCGCTGGAATGGTCGCGATACTGATTTTGTGCTTGCAGGTTGTCCAAGTCAGAGGTTCTCGCAAGAGCAATGCCTCATTATCATCAGGTCTGCATAATTTCGTTTGCCATACGCTTTTGTGTGCCACAAGATACTGGCCGCTCACGTACTAATACTGCACATACAGAGTCCCTATCACCATTACGAAGTCCCAGATTTCCCAATCATGGCATCAACAATGTGAGCGGTATGCCTGATACCCGCGACAGCCGTGACTACAACACTATTCCGTTCTATGATCGCGATGATACCCTTCCTGTTAGCAATCTCGTGATGCATCTTTGCGATCTGTTTTTCGTGCATCTAGGGTGCAGCTTTCCTTTTCTACAACGAGACAGGTTTCTACGCGACCTGAAAGACAAGAAGGTCGATACAATGCTGGTGGACGCGATCTGTGCGTTATCTGCTCGTTTTTCTCTCCATCCGCTCCTGAGTCCGCCTCAGGCACCTTCGATAGATGGATCCGAACCAGCAGTGGATATGAAGAAATCAAACCGCGGTCGGCCATTCGCTCATAGAGCGATGAGTGCTCTGGTCGATTCACTCTCTTGTCCTACTATCTCCGTTGTGCAAGCATGCCTCTTACTAGCTTACGAGGAATTCGGATCGAATCATGATAGCGGTCTCTGGATGTACTTGGGAATATCCATCAGGATGGCGCAGGATCTTGGGATGCAGAAAGTCCAGGGTCTGGAATACAATTATGGTCAGAGTGGGGTAACTCCAAATGCTGTGCTGACTGGACAAGCTGGAAAGTTGAGAGACGATCAGTATGATGAACCGCAACCTTCCCCAACACTAAGGGGCCAGCCGCGCGACGCGGAAGGTCGACGTGCTTCGGAACGTGAACGAGTGGATTCTTTTTGGAGCATTTTCTTTCTCGATCGAGTGATCTCATCTGGTACCGGAAGGCCTGTTACCTTGCGTGATGAAGAGATTGAACTCTGTTTCCCTCTTCAATCCGAATCCAGGCTGCCGAATGGTTGGCCTGCACCATTCCCTCCACTTATCCGCATCATTCACTTGTACGGCAGAGTGACAGACCTCATCAATGGGATTCAGGATGTCAAGCATGTAACATCGGACACACTGAAGGTGCTGGCCGGCATGGAAAGCGACCTGACAGGTAATGATATCTCAGACTCGAGTTTTCACCACGCAACAGCTAATCATGGTTATGAACCAGGAATATACCAACGCCTATCACCCAGGCTCCACTTCAACGCCGCAAACTTTCAAGCATATGTCAAGGCGAAAGAAGGAACAAATTTCATACTTTTACATTTCGTATGCTTGGCCTCCTTTCCCATGAGAACTCCTATTGACACAGACCAGTGGTTTCATACCCTGATAGTCTTGCTGCATCAGCCGACGCTCCTTCATTCATTTGGAGGGACAATTCAGCATCTATATCCGAACAGCCGGGAATTGTCGATGTCCTCAGCCAAAACCATTGCTGACATCCTCTCTTTTTCAGAGCTTGTTGACGGAAAGAGTTTTATTGGCAATCCTTTCACGAGCCAGCCGATGTACATTGCTGCATGCGCTTTTCTGATGGAAAGTGCTTATTACTCCTCGCCATCATCGAGGTCGTGTTCGCCTCCCATCCAACCGCTTCTGACAAACCAATCCAGTGGATTTGTAATGCCCAGCATGGATCCGGCCACCGGCTCTGAACGAAAACCTACCGCTAAGCACATTCTTCTCGCATCCGCTGCGAAAGAGAATTACCAGAGATGTTACAAAGCATTGAAGGCGCTTGAGACCTATTGGGAAGGTACAAGGTACATTCTAACGGTCTTAGACCAAAAGGCCAAAGGGATCGTGGATCCACTTTTGTATACTGTGGAAGAGATGGAAAGTACTGCTGGGCTATCTTCTGTCCAGCCACTCGCGGCACAACCGTGGCGACGGACGCAATCGTCTGATGATACGGTGGGTGCTGACCCATCAGCCCCGGGCTCAGATACACCAGCAGAAGGAAGGCGGTCGCCCAAAATAGATCCGAGTCAAGGTAGGGTTCATCACTTGCTTCTCCCTACCTCAGTGTGAGCTGACTGTCTTCGAGCTATTGGATGGGCTCTTACTGGTGCGACAAATTCTTCGCAGCCGAATCTAAGCCTTCTTTATCAGATGCCTGCACAGACAGAACCTATCCCGGAAAAGCCGACATATTCATCTCAATATAGCCATAGCTACCCCCATATACTTGTTCAACCTGATGGTGGTGGGACTTCGTACTCATACTCACAGGCCACAGAGTCATCCCGGAGCACAAAAGCGACTCCGGGGCCATCAATGGCCTCTACAACTGCGCAATATTCACACCTGGCATCCTCCGGCAGAGTTACCACTTCTGATGCTAACCTTCTCCTTGGTTTGAATACGACTTATCCCGGTTCGACCTCCCGTCTACCTAATTCACGGTCGGCTTTCAATCATCAAATGCCTTCTGCTGCATGTGGGCTTGAGGGTCACGCCCAAGTCTATAATTATAACATCCCTTCTACTGTGAGTGACGCTCATACAGGGAGCGGGCACCTAATTGCGCACAGCGTTGGACTGCATTCTGATGCCGAACCTCATGCTGGAAATGTGTTTATCGAGAGCCAAGACGTTGATATGGCTATGCTCCAGCAAAATGATCAGCTTCCCTTCGCGTTCAGCGGTGAGATACTTCCATGGCTTGAATATCTTCCACAGGACGTCCTCAATTACTTTGGCGATAATCAGAATTATCCGGGCATGCTGAGTCCGGATGACGAAACCCCTCGACCACATTAGCCTGTTATCGTACCATACGATCCCTACGATGTCTATACCCGTTTACACACGGTCTGGCCTGTTTCTACCCACTTCAGAGATTAAGATTCGATTCCGTTATAAATACCACAACAAGAAAGATTGCTATGGAGCAGGTATAGGGTTCGAATAGGCGCTTATACTTCTCCTTGTATGGTCTGTATATCTTCAGCGACAAGCATTGAATACCAGCATATGACCTGTTTGATCTAGAGATTTCTCAGTATTGGGCTTATTTGTAAATCATGCTTTGGTCAATTTTGATGCCTGATTGGGGCCATTTAATGTTTATCGATTCAGCGGACTGGAGTTTGTTTTATGTTATTCTTCAAGTTTCTTATTTCTTTAGTCTTCTCCTTCTATTCTTCTTTCCCCCCTCTCTCATGTGGGTGCTTGTTTAAGTGACATATACCTGTACATTCGCTACCATGAATCTCTTTCTGCCTTTTCCCTGCAACTGATTTGATATATCCATTTCAGTCTGTCTTCGTCATACGCGAGTCTCAAAGTAGGCTATTGTACCGAGATAGAGTACAGCGTTGCCCAAGTGTGCTGGAAGCTTACTGCGTCAAAGGGCAAATATCGACATTGAATTATTCTCTGACTAACGCTGAAACAGTGTTTAAACAACACGAAGAGCATAGTGAGCAGAAACCATACTGACAACATCGAGAACCTAATATTGACACCGCTCTGTGCCATTTGCCAAATCGAATCTTACGGACTGCCACCGACCAGAGATATGAGAGTGATCCATCATGACCTATATGAGACACCCCGTGTCATTCTTGCCTAGTCGACAAGGATTAGGGAGCTGGCCTGCTCAGGGTGCTGAGTATTCAATTGCCTAATTTTGCTTTTCATCTCCTCTTTCCGCATTTCCTGGAGACATCTTATCCCATCTCGCATCGTGAGCTTCAATCACACCTAAGTCTGTCAACTTGGCTAGTCCGGGCATGCCGCTTATTTGAGTGGTGCTTCAAGAAAAGATGACGGCAAATATCCCTTCATCCATCATGAACACATTGTCACCTAGTCAGCAAGAACCTCCCAAAGTCGTCATAACGCGATCTATACTTGCCGCGCTTCAACGTTGCGCGATACACCTCCTTCCCATTGCCGTGTCATCTACAGTTATTGGACTGAACATCAAGGGCACATATCTAGGAGCGGACATGATGTCTCCATTCCCATCCGAGACTATAAACCTGGCACTCTTCCAGTTGGCTGCCAAAGCTCATGAGATAATGATCGTTGCAAGCTTGAGTGTAACTGTTCTACTCTGTGTCCGCCATGAATTGCTCTTCGGCCGTGGCCTTCCCTTGGGTCTCTTGGGATCAGGGCTTGCGTTCAACAACTTCGGATATTTTTTCTCCAGAAAATTTTGTGGTGGTTTAAGATATGTGGCTATTCACGGCGAGAGATCACGCAAGGCTGCACTGATAAGTCTTGTGGTCGTGGCAGGCCTGCTAGCTACTCTTGCTGGGCCAGCGAGTGCTGTTCTCCTTGTTCCAAAATCACAACCCTGGAACCCCGGAGATACTGAGTTCTTCTTGAACGGATCAGAGAGCGATTATTGGCCTGCTGACTTGTCGAAAGAGATCCCAGACCTCGAACAACTCTGCAGTGAGCAAAACTCGACTCTTCTGGGATTCTGCCCGGCGGGTGGATTTCTCTCGTTGTGGACTCACTGGGTGACGATGAACAGCACCACTTTCCAAACCCAGAATGTCCGCTCCTATGCAAAGGAACTTTCCGGGTCTCGGTTTTACTGGCCAGTCTCCAGTCCCTTGTCTCTAATCCCACCTCTATATTCACTGGGGGACATTCAGCAAGAGCCAAATAGAAGAATATCGCTGATACAGCCGCACGCAGCAACCGTGGTGATGCTACAGCGGCTTGCGGAAGATTGGTGGCGGGCCTTCAGTGTACAGAAAGGTCTTTCGCAGAGTCAAATTGATGATCGTACTGCTTCGGTTACCTTCAAACATGCTATCACTGTCGCCCGTTGTACAGCGCCACAAAAGCTACGAGCCTCAGACACCACAGTGTATTTTCCTTCAATACATGGTCGGTTTGACTTTGCCGATAGCCTACCACTCGACGTGGATAGTCTTAATTCCACTCCGAATGGCCACCTGTCATTTCAATGGGTTCATCTTCCGCCCAGATTTGGTGCTGCTAGCATTGGGGGACTATTCCAGACCCCCTGGAAAGCCACTAAGGGGGGTAGCGTCTCTAGAATAGCAATCGGTTGTACAGTACAGGCTGGGTGGTTTCCTGCAACGGTCTTCACTGACAAGTACACTTTCTAGACCGGCTAGTATCCGTGGAATATCCAGTATGACGATCGTTCTCCCGCATGGAATCCGACTTCTTACAGCGCAATCAATGGCCGAGTTGCATTCGGTGATGAGTGGCTCAAGTTATTGACTCCTCCAAGCCCCCTTACAGTAACTGATACTGCCAGCACTTGGCGACTATCGACCATCGAAAGCATCTTTTCAATTGCAGGCTTGGCAACTGATGCAAAGGCCGATGAGATAACTCTCGATGGTTGGCTTGTCAACGATATTTCCAGCTGGCAGAGCGTCTCTCTAGTAGAGGCCATTGTCTGCAGTGTCATTCTAGATGGCATCAGCCGAACGAGAAGCCATCAAGTGTTCATCGAAGACAGAGTGGCGATTCAACCTTCGACTACCACCGCCTCCACCCCCAGCGAATCAGTGACGATCACAGCAGAATTCAAGATAAGCGGCTTTTCACTTCAGGGCTCTCTTTCTGGTACTCTCGCCATGTCAGTCCTCATTGCTCACCTGGCGATTGCTATTGGTCACATCATCTACCTCATCCTTAAAAGACACACGCCGGGTAGCTGTAGTTCAGTCGGTGAGCTCATTGCTCTGGCGCAAAATTCACCGCCAGCGTCTGAAGTTCTAACAAATACTGGAGGAGAAATAAAGAGCTCGAAGACCTACGCTCACCTAGCAAGGATTCGTGTGGCGAAGGCTTCTGACTCCTGTGGACAAGACCGCATTGAACTAGTCTTCAAAGCGCACACGCCCTCTGCTGAACTCCGCGGCGATTCTTCTGGGACTGAGTAAGTTGACCTGCATACCAGCTTGCTCAATCACTCGTCCACACGGCATAGTCAGCATCATACAAGCAGGAACACCTCACCATCTACACAGGATAGTATTTGGGGTTTATCACATTCTACTGAGTGGTTGGTCTTTGACAGTCGTCGCGTGGCGAAGGTGACAACAGCTCGCGTGCAACCTGAGCGCTCGTACGCTTGAAATACATCCTTTGAGTGTGTGCTATGGCTGTACCTGTAGGTACTAGGTAGATTGTAGAAGACATTGGCTGCATCTGTTGGACTCTTGGCATGGGGACTCCACAGAGCACACTCCACTCAGGAGGCCCGGCGCGTCCTGTCAAAAAGACCCTGTATGTCTGATTTCAACTTGAGTATCCGAAATTTCCGAATGAAACGTGTAACTACAGGGCGAAGGGACAAAGCGTTGGGCGGTAACTATTGTAATGTATTTACGAGCAGTCCAACCTTACAGTTTAGCTCGAAATTGACAATACGCACTAGCCATGTCGCTTTGTGCACGGACCCACTCTTATTGTCCCTACACTGGCCCTCTCTACTTCATCCCTTCCATCATCAAACTATTCGTTCTCTATGGGCAGCACGAATGGCTAACACACCGCTGTATCATCAGCTCGGCCGACTCTCTTTCTCCGCGGTTAGCATCATAGGCTGCATTTATCTCATCTTATGTCTCGTCTTCCTTGGCTACTACCATAGCTCGAGCTATCGCGATCCCACGTCTTTGTTCTTCGACCCCAGCCGTGCCTATCAGAAACGATATTCGTCCAAACTCCAAACGAATTGCCCAAGCAGAGGCATTTCTTGCCTCCGCCAGCAGCTTAGCGTCTCCGACGAGAGAACACCAGGGGCCCCCAGCGGTGTGCGTGGGAATAGTAACGGTTCGTCGAAGGGGTGATCAATATGTTGGCTTGACAGTGGCGTCTCTCCTGGATGGACTCACTGAGACCGAAAGAAACATGATGCGTTTATACCTTCGTGTTGGCAACACTGACCCGAAAGAGCACCCCATCTTCTCCGAGAAGTTGGGTGGAAACGCTACCCGATCGTCTGTTAACGTATTCGCAAGATGACCCCGACTTCGGACAGCTACGAGCGTGGGAGGAAGGTGGCTGGTACCGGAACAAGACCATCTACGACTTCACAACCTTGATGAAGGACTGCTATGAGACCGGTGCCGACTATGTCGTGATGATAGAAGATGATACCCTGGCAGTGAATGGCTGGTTTCCATCTGCCTTGCAAGCTCTGGACACAGTGCATGAGAAGGCTGCACGTCAAGGTCAAGAGTGGATTTATCTCCGCCTGTTCTACGTCGATGGCCTCCTAGGCTGGAATTCGGAAGAATGGCCGCAATACCTGGCGTGGTCCTTCATTCTCTGGGCGTTACTTACAGGGACAATGGTTGTCTTCAAGGCACGAGTGTTCACAACGCAGCTCCGTCGGTTCCCGACCAGTGCCATCTGGCTTGCATCGTCCCTGCTTATACCCGGTGCGATTCTTCTTTTCTTCGTTTCCGGCCGGCAAACAATGTGGCCCATTGCCCCTGGAGTCCATGAAATGAACAAATACGGATGTTGTTCGCAGGGTCTTGTTTTCCACCGAGCGATGGTACCCCGCTTTCTTGAGCAGACTGACTTGACGACTGACTGGTTGGTTGATATGATGGTTGAAACGATTGCGGACAGCCAGGGCTGGACGCGCTGGGCTGTGGTTCCGCCGTTACTACAGCATATCGGCGCGACGAGTTTCAAAGGATATGGGTTTGACAGCTCCGCCAAGACCTAATGGAATTTCAGGTTTGAAGAATATGATCAATAGTGAGTCTTTAGGTTTGAACAGAGATCTTGTTATTCCAATCGACTTTTATCCACCAGTAATACTACTCGGGCAGTCAGCGCAAGTCAACTCAGCGTAAAGCATCTCCCATATTAACCAGTTGACAAGGCACAATATTGAATGTGATAAGATGCCACGTAAAGTAGCTGGACATACATGACGCTAGAGAATACACGAGTCGATTTGTATTGATAATACTGATGAGTGGGCCGCAGCTTGAGACTATCTCAGGCCCATGTACGGAGTATGCAAACGGCGATTTGCTGAGGATGTTTTTCCGTTGGAAATACCCAATAGAGGGTAAGAGGATCGGTACCTACGCCTTAATCTGATTGATTGGTTGATTGATAAGATCGGAATCCCTATCACATTGGAAGTTACTTATGTCGCTCTGGGTACGTATCCAGATTGCTTGATAAGATTACTAGTCTCCGATGTCAGTAAACAGCTATCCTTGGTTTGCCATCGAGGTTGCTGCGGGGGCAACCAGGGGGTTGAGAGGTTCGGTTCAAAACCTTGGGCTCAGGAGAAGTAAAGTTTCAGTTTATGGGTCATACTTGAGCATAATATTTGTTCACGCCTGGTAGTGAACTCAGTTCATAGATATATAGCATTATTGCGGGGCGGCATTTTCTACAGGAGAGTTGGGATAGAGGAGAGAGACAAAAGGGTTGAAGTCATTGAAGCACGGAGTTATTATTGATGATGGTAGTGGAACAGTCAGAAGCAGCAAACCTGATGACAGAAGTCTAGTGGTCTAACTATAACTAACCTAAACCGCCTAAGTTACTACTAGTAAGTTAGTTAGTCTATCTAGTAACTCGATCTAGTTAGTGGTTGCCCTGCACAACCAGGCGGTCAAGCGTCAACTAACAACACACCGACTGATGAGGATCAACATCATGCAGGCGACTCTTTTGAAATAACAATCGCAATCATGTATCCTTGACTTCTCACATTAGAGGCATCTTCTGTGATAGATCTGGATTTGAAGTGACGGAATACCTAGGCTGCGGCTGTTTCACGAATCCACAATCCCCGGAATCTTTGAACTATAACTATTGGGCAAACTGTGCTGAATCTTACTGGTGCTCCGATAACAAGTGGGATACCATTTCTCTTATCCTTTCACATTCCAGTTCCTGCATTTGCTTTTTTTTTTCTTTTTCTTTTTGGACCTCTGACCCGCCAAGGTCATCAATGGAGAACCATCCTAATGGCAGTCAATTTACTGACTACGCAGACCTCCCAGACGAGGAATCACTACGCCTCTCTTCAGCTCCTTACGATATCGCGCACTCCCCGGGTTCCACCTCCCCAGCAAATCGAGCCATTTCGCAAGAGTTCGACCATCATGACGATGGCAGTTTTCTCATGGGAGACGTACAGATGCTGATTCGTGACGGATATCAATCTGACGGATCGTCGACACGCCACTCCAGTGAGAATCTCGGCGCATACCTTGATGAGGACCAGGCTTGTATGAGCTCAGGAGAATCCAGTCGCTCTTCGATATCGTCGATACCTCCATCGGTGTTCACAAACATGGCAGAGGGAGTGAAAGCACCTGGGCACAGACATTCTCATCCGTGGGACAGTCATGATGGCATTCATGCGCATGGAAGGATAGATGCGACCTTACGGCCGCTCTCTGCGACCCGGCTGAGGGAAGCTGCGTTCAGGAAGCCAAGCTCGGTCAAGGCAATGCAAATGCATACCGAGGATGAGCGGGACGATGATGCCTTCTTAACCCCGCCCAAGCGTCGGGCGGCCCACCAGCGCTACTCGGACGCCTCTATGCGCTCGGTGGGCTCGTCGCCATTGCGGAAATCTCAGTTCTACTCACCTACAGGGTCGGCGGCCAGCAAGCAGAAAGCCAAGGACGAGTACCCGCTTGTCCTGTTGCACTGTAACTTGCTACCACCATCGCTTCCAGTCCCAGGCGCAGCGGCCTTTCACAACCAGAAGATCGTCAGAGAGGTGCTTCCCCCGGTCTTCTGGCGTCGATGGAAGCTGTTAGAGGAGAAGGTGGGCTCCGGTGTGCTCCGTGAGCGTGGCGTCCTGATCTCGCATCCGGAGGATCTGTATGACTTGCTTGAGGAGCGGCTGTTGGAGAGCCTGGAGCTGCAGCGTCCGCGCTTCGACCATGGTCACTTTATCGGACATGACGAAGCTGAGTCAGAAAAGGAAGACCGTTTGGAGAAGGAGGACAGCGCGACAGACGAAGAGGAAGGGGAGGCATGCCCCGACTGTGGCGGTCATGTGGTCCGGCATGGCAATGCCGGGCGGAAATGGGAGATCAAGGTGTTTGCAGCCAATGGACTGATGCGAGCTGGAGCTTGGGCTGCTGCTTGGAAGGAAATGGAGAAGGTGGACGTTGAGGTCGGCTTGTGGCTGCCATCAGAGATCCGCAGGGAGCTGGAAAAGAGGCTCATGGGGGATGATTATTATTCCTGCCAACTGGATCCCCAACTGCAGGTGCCGCAGCTGCAGGTGCCCGGCAACGATCCGGTCATTCCCACACACCCGCAGGCCCGGCATGCGCGGACCTCAAGTTCAATCACAGCTGATCAGAGGTCTTTCTCATTCGACGGAACCGAAACACAGTCGCCTCCGGCTATCAACAATCCTGCATCAGTCGAAAGCCGACCGCCGAAGCCGTCTTTTTCTCCGCAGTTGAATGATGATATCGACATACAAACACTGTTGGTCAATTACGTCCGCGTGTTGGCTAGCGACCGGCGCAATGTGGCCATTGCCATTCTGAGCATCCTGATGGTATTTTTCGCCATCCAGTCGGGCTCCCAAGTGAAACCTTCGGCTCTCCGTCCATTTCCTCATGATTTCATGGAGCATGAACCTCTGCACCCGCCTGTCACTTCAGCCAGTCAAGCTGATAGCACCATTCGCAACGTTCCCATTGCCTGCGTGAGTCAAGCCACCGAGAGCGCAAACAGCGAGATCATCGTTGAGACAGCGCCTCTGTCGGTGAGTAGCATTCCAGATCCAGCGAGCATGAGCGTTCTCCCTCCCGCTATATCTGAGACTGTCGCTGAGCCGGTGCTCGTGTCTGCACGCGATATATCAGAGCCAGTGGGCGAGAGCGTTCAATCCACTGTTTCATTAGAGGCCGTTGCTAAAATAACTCCCACCCGTGTGGGTGACATCTCAGAATCTGTGAGCATGAGCTCTCAAGCTGTTGCCTTGTCTGAAGCAATCACTCCGGTTGCAATGTCCGAACCTGACAGATCACATCATGAGTCGGATGCAAGCTCGCGGGCGAAAAGTCTTCTCACTCACTCCCAGGCTCAACAGCAATTGCCCCAGTCTCTCTACCCAGTTGTGCAGCCATCGACAAGACGGATTGCCTTGATCAAAGAGATGACACCAGCCCCGGATAGTCTGAGCCCGATCACGGAGCAATTGATGGGCAAACAAATGATATGATGATGATTACGATGATGGTAATTGTAGAAATGCGATTCATGACTGAGATGAGATTGATTGATGTATGGATTTGTGCGGTAAGGCACTCTGGCTCATCATTCCTGTGGTTGTTGCAAGCTTTTCCTGTTTTCCACTTGCTTCTTTTCGACTCTTCCAAGATTTTTTTCTAAGCCCATGTAGTTACTGTATCTAGTGTTTGCCGTATTCCTGGTCAAGTCAAATAGTGAACTAGCCTACTCTTTAAGTGTGATCAATCCAATTATCTAGACAATTATTGCCAGGCTGCTAGGCATGCGGTGTGATAAGTGGGATTGGCATGACTCGTTCTAGTGAGAACCCATAAAGAATAGGATTCAATAAAGGTATTTCATTTCGGCTTCCCGCCTGCCGATCATCTTCCAGTTCTTTACTCTTTTGCCCTCGGGTTAACCCCAACACCTCCAAAGGGAGGCTCTTGTCAAGAGAACTGCTGCACGCCTTGCAGCGCTTTCCTGAATGAATCTTTGCGGATCTCGCATCTCACCATGGCCAACCAGCAGGCCCTTCTACTTCTACGTTCAGTTCTAGGTCCTTGAGTTAGACCCCTCTAGTCCCTCTCCGCATATGGCAGGTCATCATGAACTCACGCTGAGGCATTGAAGGATCCCTTACTTGCCTTGGCTTGGACTTGACATCTAGTCCAAGATACACAGTGGGCGGGCGGGCGAGCGGACGCTGTGAATCGCTATCATGGCATCTATAAAGCTGGAATGTCGTGTTGCGCAGAACGCCACGAAGAGGAACGGCGAAGAAGCAATCGTTGCCTCCGGCTTGAGGTTATTCGCAGGGCGTTTACTCTCATACTTTTTATAATATCCCTTTCCCTTCTCCGATCGGACTCTTGTTGGTACTCCTTGTCTGCGCGGTGTCTTTGTGGTATCTTTCTTCTCTTGTTCTTCGCCATGAAGTTCTCTTCCAGCAAGCTGGCCTTGTTGTCAGTGATCCCTGGCTTGTCCCAGTGGGCTTCTGCTCGCGTTGTTCAATTTCAGATCGATCTGACATATGAGGATCATGAGGTCGCTGGATTCGTGCGCAAAACTATTCTCAGTAATGGGCAGTTCCCTGGACCCCACCTGCAATTGAAGCAGGGTGACGACGTGGAGTTCCTGGTGAACAACTCGATGCCTATAGCGACGACTGTTCATTTCCATGGTTAGTACCGTCTCGTGCAATTGGAGGGGATTAATTCACTCATGAATGCTTTCCCAGGTATCGAGCAAAGAGGCACACCATGGTCGGACGGGGTCCCCGGATTGACCCAGGAACTTATCCAGCCTGGAGAACAATATCTGTACACCTGGACGGCCAATGACTATGGCACCTATATCTATCACTCTCACTCCAGAGCTCTGCTGGACGATGGGTTGTACGGCTCAATCTATATCGAACCGGCGGAGTCGGTGGAGAGACCGTTCGATTTGATCACCAATGATCCAGAAGAATTGCAGGCAATGCTGGATGCGGAACAGAGCACGCAGCCAATCCTGCTCTCTGATTGGAAGCACTTTGATTCCACGGACATCCTACGGCTAGAGAAGGAATCGGGCGTGGAAAGTATCTGCACCAGTGCCGTTCTGGTCAACGGCAAAGGTTCCGTGTTCTGTCCCCCGCAGGAGCATATCAATGCGATCACGACGGCTGCTCAGAAGGAGATTCTGGGGAATACGACTTTGACTGATATGGGGTACGGTTCTCGGTTTAGCGAAGCAGAGATTTATTTGCAGCGGCTAACTTAGACTAGATGCATTCCTGCCGAAGTTCTCTTTGGCCCGGCATATCCGATCGATACCAGCAAGCTGCCCAATGGCTATTATAAAGGCTGTACGGCCAGCGAGGGTCCTACCGAATTTCTCAGCGTGGGCGCAGGCTATCAGAGCTATGACCTGATCAGTATGGGGGGTGTCACCTCCCTGGTGTTCTCTATTGACGAGCATCCCATGTATGTCTATGCGGTGGACGGCCGCTATGTTGAGCCCATGCTGGTCGACGCTGTCACCGTACCTATCGGGGCACGATACTCGGTTCTTGTCAAGTTGGACCAGCCCGCTGCTGACTATACTGTCCGTATCGCCAACAACTACGCGACCCAGGCCATCAATGGCACGGCTATCATGTCCTACGAGAAGCAGGGCTCAAATGCCTCCAGCGGCTCCAACCAGAGGTCTCAGCCTTCAATCACCGAAGTCGGAAGCAATGCCACGGCCAGTACAGTTTTCCTGAACGAGACCCAGGTGGTTCCTTTCCCCGTGGTAGCGCCAGCTGTGGATGTTGACCACACCTATATCATTGACATCGTCCCATACAACGCCTCGTACACCTGGATGATGCACAATGCCAGTTACGCGTCATCGAATGAGGGGCTTTTCCCGGTTCTTTACAACCGCAGCTCGATCCCAGCGCAGTATACATTATCCACGCTGAACAACACCTGGGTAGACCTCATTATCAACATCACGACTGCTGGACAGCCAAATCATCCCATCCACAAGCATTCTAACAAGTATTTCGTCATCGGCTCGGGTCAAGAGACGTTTACATACTCGTCAGTGGCCGAGGCCATGCAGTATATCCCGCAGAACTTCAACCTGGACACACCTCAGATGCGAGACACTTTCTTCTCTCCGCCGGCGACGACGGGCCCTACCTGGTTAGCCCTGAGATACCAGGTGGTCAACCCAGGCCCATTTCTGATGCATTGCCATCTTCAGATGCATCAGAACGGAGGTATGGCCCTTGCATTGCTTGATGGAGTCGACGCATGGCCCAATACCACTGAGCATCGAATGCCGGTGAAGGCCACGCCGTGAGGCAAGGGTAACTTTCTTTGCTTCAGTGTATACATGATATTCATAGTATTGTATATTCCTTGTACTCATACTAATAATTGAACTTCTTTTCTTGCGTGCCGTTCCTTGTTTGGAGACTGATAGACTAGTCTATCGATGAGAGGGCTGGGAGAAGAACAGAAAAACAAACAAACATGCCAAACCGTGGATAAGTGGTTAGTCATTGGGGGACTCCACCGCCCGGCCCAGGAAGTGCCGCGATAGGACGACTTCCTCCCTTCGTCATCTCCGATCTTTCTCTCGAGTCTCGAGTGACCGCCCGCCCGCTTTCCATCTGTATCCATCTCCATCTCCATCTTCCTTCTCTTCCCTCTCCTTCCTTTCTGACTTTTTCTTTCTTTCTTTCTTTCTTTCATCACACCTTTCTGCACCTCACTCTCAGTCATTCCACCTATATATCTTCAAACAATCTCCAAAAATGGGCGGAAAGAAAGGCGGAGCCGGCGAGAACTCCAAGAAGGCGGCTGGCCAGGCTCGCGTATGTTTGCACTTCCCAAGTTATACACTAATTTTGTTACCCCGCCCCCTCCCTGCTTCTCGCCTGGAACAATGACACAACACCCCCCCCCCTTCCTCTCTTTATCTCCGGAAGAACTATACTTCTAGAGGACTATAACTGACCACACCCCCATTTCCATCCAACAGAAAGCCGAAGCCGCCGCCGGCAAAAAGGCCGCCGAGGACGCCAAGCGCGCTGCCGAAGAAGACAAGCAATGGCAGAAGGGAGCGAAGGGCAGTGCTAAGAAGTGCGTTTTTCCTTCCCAGTCCTTCCCCTCGCTTTCATCACTCATCTCCATCCCCCTCCCCCCCCCTGTTTCTTCCCCAACAACTCCATCTAATCGCGAAATATTTTCAATCCGCAGGGACGACGCCGAGGCCAAGAAAGCCGAGGCCGCCCGCAAGAAGGCCGAACGCGACGCCCTCCTAGCCGCCGAAGAAGCGTCGCAGCCCTCGAAACCCAAGGGCAGCGGCGCCAAGCAGGCCGTGAAGAAGACCCGGGGTCTGGACCTGTCGCAGCTGGATGAGCCGGCCGGCGGCAGCAGGGCCTCGGCGCTGAATGCGTCGGGTATCGACAACGCGCTGGACGCCCTCTCCCTGACGGGCAAGGACGCCGGCAAGGTGGACCGCCACCCGGAGCGGCGGTACAAGGCGGCCTACGCGGCCTACGAGGCCCGCCGGCTGCCCGAGATCGAGGCGGAAAACCCCGGCCTGCGCCGGCAGCAGCGCGTCGAGCTGTGTCGGAAGGAGTTCGAGAAGAGCGAGGAGAACCCCTTCAACCAGGTGCATGTGGCGTTCGATGCTAGTCGCGAGGAGATCGCGGCCGTGCGGGATGCGGAGCGGAAGAAGGTCGAGGCGCGGTTGGCCAAATAGAGGAGGAGGAGGTTTCTTTTCTTTTTCTCTTTTGTTGGCGGGGAGTTTTCTATTTTTCTATTTTGTCCTCGATGTCATCGCCGCTAGGTGCTATTAGTACGGCCTGCTACGTACTATGATGTGGTATATATACCCGGGTTTTTCCTCTTCATCGGAAAGCTCAAAATTGGAGTCGGATATAGGGCTGAGTGCCTCGGATCCATGATAGAGAGGTTTGGAACTGAATACGGTATACAAGATGAAATGGCTGGGAAATGAAGTACAACGAACGAAAATCAAGCATAGAAAAGGTACATAATCAGAAGGTGACAAAAATGTTGGTATCATGCAGTCTAAGATCATATATCCATAATATAGAAGAAGAGTCAGTGAGAAAAAAGAGTTGGCTCAGGACAAACCGGAATCAACCACCCATCACAGCCCGTACGTCCCAAACATATAGACTCTCATCCCACCCGACACTGGCACACCAGCCCTCACTCCCGAACAGACACCAATCCACCCCTGTGACGAATTCCGTATGCTGGCCCATTCGCCCCAATTCCACTCCCATGTTGGGACCGCCGGGCCCGGCACGCATCACGTCGACATCCCCGACGACCCCGGCGGGGGACTGATCCGTCCAGGCGCGACAGGTCATATCATAGCTGGCGCTGAGCAGGACGTTGGACAGATGCGGCGACCAGGCGACTTTGCGGACGGCGTAGTCGTGGCCCAGCATGACGGTCTGCGGGCCCTGGTGCGGGGCCCGGATATCGAAGGTCCGGATGGTGCGATCCACCCCGGCGGTGGCCAGCGTCGAGGGCCGATACTTGTTCCAATCCATCGTGAGGGCCTCGGCGGGGGCGGAGCCACCGGCCATCAACGGCGGCGGTGCCCCCGGTTGCGGCGCCATGATGCTTGCTCCTGCTCCTGCCCCTGCCCCTACCCCGCCACCGCCTGCATGGATCGGAATCTGTAAGGTGAGATGATTGGAGGCGGAGGCCGGGGTGCGCAGGTCGTAGAGCCGCAGGTACGAGTCCGAGGTGACGCAGGCGAGCAGGTCGGGCGAGTGCGGCGAGAAGCTGGCGGCGTAGGTGCAGCTGTGGGTGGGGAGGGTGAGGAGCGAGTGCGGGCGGTGCGGCGACCAGACGCGCACCGTGCCGTCCCAGCTGCTGGAGCTGAAGCGGTCCTTGGCCACCAGGTTCCAGTGCACGCTGAACACCTCGCGGTTGTGCTCCTTCCAGTTCTGCACGGGGAAGTCGTTCAGGCTCGTGTCGAAAAGCTTGATGCTCCCGTCGCCGCTGGCGGCCAGGACTTGGTGCTCGTGGATCTCGGACCAGGCGAGGTCGTAGAGGGAGTCTTGGGTCGTGAAGCTTTTGTTTTATTTAGGTGAATTGTGTTAGTTTCTGGGGGATGGTTTCCAGGTGAGATGCTGAAGGGGAACGGAAAAAGGAAGAGGGGAAAAGGGAAGGTGGTGTGCGTACTGTTTGGCGGGGACAATGCCATGGGGAGTCAATTCGAGAATGAAGAGTCGTCCATTGCCCACTAGGCCATAGTTGGCGGAGGCGGCGACCGCCAGGCGGTTGTCAAAGAATGGAGAGTACTTGACTGCGCAGCCGTTGAAACCCTCGGTGCGGAAGTGAAGCATTGTTGTTGTTGTTGTTGTTTACTGTAGGGGTTTGTCGGATGGGGGACTAGATCCGGTGGTCTCGGTGCGGGGAGATGATGGGAGGAATCAAGGACAGGCGGTCATGGCGGGGAGGAGCGGAGATGAGGGGTGGGAAGGCGCAGAGGAGAATGGGGGATTCTCGGAGGAAGTAGAGAGAAGGAAGGAAGTTCGAGGTGGTGATAATCTTGTGGTGCGGGGAAAGATGAGGCCGAGTCCGAGTCCTCCAGCTTCTGTTGTAGTGAGTGCCGCTCACTGAGCCAAAAGCGGCGCGAGTCCAACTAGTGCGGGGGGGGAAAAAGAGCGATGGAGAAGAGCCGAGGTTCGGCAGTCCGACGACGATCTTGACCTGGTCGGGTTTATAACCTGGCACATGCACGCCACGCCTGTCGATTCGATTCTTTGGACCTGAACTATATCAACAAGTAACCAGGGTGTTCATCTTCATTTAGACACAATCATCAGAATATCAATCAGCGCTTCCTATGTTTCTAGAATAGGAAGGGAAAGGATGTCACAGTGACGCCATCAGGGCCAGATTTAAACTTTGAAGCCCAAAGGGTAAATCTTCACCATGGCCTTTCTCATGAATTCTCCTCCCCTCCACCGTCCCTGTTCTAAGCACACTCACTTAAGCACACTTTCCTAAAACCACCACCACCACCACCACCACCATGCCCTCAGCCTGGACCGATGACAACAACAACGACCATCCCCCAAACCATGCATCATCCCCAACCCCAGCCGCCAACTTCCTCACGACAGAGATCTACAACATCGGCGCCCAGCCGGGCATCCGCTCGCTGCCCCCGAGCCCAGAACGCGACTTCCTGGCCCTAACCTGGGGCCCCGTCGTCTATCGCACGGCCTACAGCGCCCGCTCGGACCGACTCCTACCAGTGTTCCTGCGCGCCCTGTCCTACGAGGTCCAGGCGGCCATCCCGCGCCGGCTCCCCGGCACGCGCAAGCAGCGGCACCTCCTCGAGACGAGCTACGCCTGCAAGGTCTTCAGCGACGAGACGCGGTATGCGGGAGCGGAGATCGGCGCCGTCCGCCGCGCGTTCCACGACTGGAAGCGCGCGGACCTGGAGCTGCCGCTGATGGAGCTGCCGGCGCGGTTGCGGGTGTGTTTGGTGGTGGACGAGGAGGTGCTGCGGGCTTTGGAGAGAATGATGACGAAGGAGGAAGACGGGGTGGACACGGACGAGGAGGCGAGGGGGGGTCCGACGCAAGACGGCAGCGAAAAGGGATCCGGGGAGATGTCTTACGGCCGATGTCCGGTCATCATGATGGAGGAGAATTTCCCGGATCGGAGGAGGCGGGACTCCAATCCCGCGGACGGAGAGTACCCCGGCTGGACGCAGGTGGCGCTCTCAGCAGTCGTGGAGGTACTCGAGGGGATGAGGTTTGGAAATGGATTGAGTCGGTTTCATCGCTCTGGCCGAATTTATCTGGGAGAGAGTCAGTGGTCTTGATGGATTGATTCATGTCTCTTGGAGTTTGGGCTCTTTTGGCTCGTATAGATCGTTGGCGTTAGGAACCGGGTGTATAGGTATAGAGCTGGGATAGATAGAGTATTCTTATATAAAAGGTATTGAGAGTATCACGATTATGACTGCGGAGCTTGATCAAGTCTAATTTCCATATACTGTGCAGCAACTTAAGTCAATCGACAAGTCTCTTCCAGTATGGTTCTTATCGCGCAAGGAGCACGCCTGCTCATTGGCCAGATTGAGAGCAGTCACGTGGTGATAGGACATCCATTTCCACCCATCGCTGCCAGTTTGTCATCGTTCAATCCCTTCGTGCTCGTCAATTATACAATTCCTTTTGATTTTGTGATAGTCGAAATACTTGGCTTTCTGAGAGGAGTGTACACCATGGAACGGTATCTTTCCAGAAAACGGGCCCGGAGTCCACCGGCGCCCACCTGCTCCGACGAAGACTCGACCGATATGAAGCTCGCGCGCCTGGCCTCACTCTTCCCAAACATGGCTCTAGATGCATTGATGGAGATTCTACTCTCCACTGGCGGCTGCGTCGAGACGGCAACCACCACAATCCAAGCTCAAGCCTCTCTGTACCCTCTCAAAAAGCGATCAACGGCCGGCGCCACACCCGCCGTTCAGACTTCCTTGAATGCCCACATGCGAATATCCCACCACCCGGGACAAAAGCGATCGCGGACCCGAAAAGGCAAGACGCTGCATCTATACTCTCCGGAAGACATCGCGGCGCACACGCCCTGCACCATCATCCACAACTTCCTACCCGCGGAGCAAGCCAACGCGCTCCTCCTCGAGCTCCTCGACGAATCGCAGCACTTCTCGCGCTACCGATTCCAGCTCTTCGACCGCACCGTCCAGAGCCCCCACTCCGCCAGCATCTACGTCGCCACCCCCGAGCAACACCGCCAGCACACCTCCGAGTACACCTACGGCGGCACCTACCGGGCCACCGTCCGGCAGACCACCCCCCACCTGCGCGCGGTCTCCGGCAAGGTCCAGCAGGCGGTCAACGCGGAGATCCAGCGCCGCATCCGCACCGTCTACCCGGGCGGCCGCAAGCTGAAGTATCAGTCCCCCAAGGTGTGGATGCCCAATGCGGCCTTTGTGAATTGCTACGACGGCCCCACGGAGGCGGTTGGATACCACTCGGATGAGCTGACCTATCTCGGCCCGCGGGCCGTGATCGGAAGCTTGAGTCTCGGCGTTGAGCGGGAGTTTCGTGTCCGAAGGATTGTTCCCACAGACGACCATGACGACGATGACGCTGAAGACCTGGGGGCGCCGGAAGATACTCCCGAAGGACGGATCTCGGCGCATACAGCGGAGAAGACTTCCACTTCGGCCAAAGTCCCGAAGGAACCGAATCCTTTGGAAGAACACAACAACTCTCGCAAAGCACCGATGACATCGTCATCACCAGCATCAGCATCAGTATCAGCATCAGCATCAGCATCAGTATCAGCATCAGCATCAGCATCATCCCGGGCAGACGCTCAGGGTCAAATCTCTATACACCTCCCGCACAACTCGCTGCTGGTCATGCACGCTGAGATGCAAGAGGAATGGAAGCACGCCATTGTCCCGGCACAAACCATCTCGCCGCATCCGCTGGCGGGGAATCGGCGCATCAATGTCACGTATCGGTGGTACCGCGACTCATTGCACCCGCGGTACACGCCCCGGTGCCGGTGTGGCGCCCATACGATTCTGCGGTGTGTGCAGCGCAGACGCGAGACCCGGGGCCGGTATATCTGGATGTGCTATGCGGGGTATGCCCCGGGCAAGAAAGGGTGTAGCTTTTTCCAGTGGGCGGATTTCGATGATGATGGGGAGCCACTCTGGGACAAGACGGCGGTGCATGATGATGCGCCGTGGTTGGAGAACTTCGTAGAAGGATAGGACCAGTTTGAGACTGAGGTTGGGGGGCACGTAGGAAATGAGAAGGGGAATACCAGTATATGAAAATATCCGATTAACAGTGGAAGGGTCGCATTTTGTGGTACTGCCTCTCTCCATGGATATACTTCCACAATCTCATTCTGTATGCATAACAGATTTAGTTACACTTGATTATCAAAGAGACCCTTCAATTGTGAGGCCGGGGAGAGGATAGTGAGCAAGGTGGCTCTTTTGCCAGCATCCACTCCGACTACGGCCACATTGACTGCCGTAATCCAGCAAATTTGGGCGTCAAAACAACTGCATCGCATCGTGTCAAGGGAGGCGAGTTGACAACCCACCGCCGAATCTTCGCGCTCCTCTGCTTCCTCTTACTTGATCACATACCGAAACTCCTTGAAGCCCACACATCCCAGACTAGATCGAGCATCAGGCACCATAATCCAACCTTGGAACTGATGACTTCTGGCTATAAGCTTTAATTCCTTCGGCACAAGCTTATTTTCAAACTTTCGCTGCGAGGAGAAATCGAAACCAAAATCCTCAGCTCATGGTACTGGGCCGCCATCGCGCGAGTTCTGCGGCGCCCGGAAGAAGATGCGTACGGTCCCTTCTTTTCTTGCTCCCCCTCGCCCGCCCCCACCAGCTCTGAAGGACCGACGCTTGCTGTGGGAGCTGCAGTACTCGGAGCAGGCGACAGCCAAGGCGAAAATGCAACAGATTGTAACGATAGGGACGAGGATGAGGAGACAGACGATGATCGTTGTCTTGTAGTTTGACGGGGAAAAGGTTCGCTTCTCACTGAAGGTGGTGAGCATTGTAAGTGTCAGGAAAGCTTATGTCGGTGGGATTTGCGGTGAATGGTTTGGATGTTGATGTGGGTTGAATTTTGAGAGGGGTTGGATGAAAATTGCCACAAGGCTTGTAAACTGTGATGAAATTTGCATAGATAGGATATACAGGAGGCTGGTGATCGGGATGCTTGGTTCCGGTGTTTTTGAAATTGAGGGTACTGGGAGGGTCCAGAGTCCGGGGTAAGTTGCTAGCTGCTATGCAACGAATGGGAAGGTGCGAACAGCGACTCAAAACGGGAGCCATGATGAAATCCCCGAGGTCATGAACAATTAGGTATGGGAAGTAGGAATATCCCAGATCAACTGATTGATGGTAGTACAATGAGTATATTGAAGCACCTAGCTCGTAGGCTTTATTGATGCACCTCCTCCGTTCGTGGGTTGATTTTCTCCATCACCGATGCGAGCGTAGCCTTATCCAAACGGGTGAATCGAATCTATGGCCAGTCCATGTCAGCAACAGTCCCTCGCTGAAAGGGGGAAAAGAACATGAAATAACATACCGTCTCATCCGCTCCTCCGCGCGTGGGCCCATACAGAGTTGAATCCGAAATACTAGCCTCAACCTCACTCTGCACCCGTCTCACCCAGATCCCATCCCAGTGCCAATCCCCAGGGGCCCTGGCTTGCGGGCTTCCAGCCTTCTTCACCACCCCCAATGAGGTAGCTGTAGCACTGTCGCTGCCCCTCTGGTGCGCCTTCCACGCATGCCACGCGCTCGGGTTCGCGGCCGCCTCCAATGGTAAGGAGTCCAGAACAGTCGCGTCGTCGAATGTCGAGCGGATATAGTCAAGAAGGACTGCTACGGGGACGGTTTGCCTCGTTTCCGAGAATCGTCGGTCTACTGTTGGAGAAGTGGGGTCGATCTCTTCCGTCGTGGGCGAGGTGGGGGTTGTTTGGTCTTGGTCGGGTATAGGTTCTTCGCCGGCCGGCGTATCGGGTCTCCTTGCTCCGTTTGTATTAGTGCTGATGGTCGAGTTGCGCACGCTCACGGCTTTGATGGATGGAGCTGTTGACGGGTTGCATCCGCCTCGTTTGGCCCGACCGAACCAGTGCGGGAACCCGTGCCGTAAACTAAATCCGCCGGGGGGTAAGCGCTCATCGTCGGTGGCGCTGACGGGATCTTCATTCGAGGCACCTGTGCTGAAGGTGTAAGTGGTGAGGGGCACGACCAGGGGGTGAAAGACGTCGGTCGCGAAGTTGACCATGGGCGGCATGTCGGGATAGGAGTCAGGGAAGCGGATCTGGAAACGGAGGACAGCGGAGGCATATGGACCTTTAACAGACGAGTGATAAGCATGTGCATTGACTACTATGAAACTTCACTTGGCCTGCCGAACGTGTGGAGATCTCTTACCAGCGCGAACAAAGATGACACCAGACCAGAGCGTTGGGTCACCGGGACTGAGGCTCACGTAGGTGCCCGGCGGGGCTGCATGTTGCAAACTTGCACTGGTGCAATTAGCCGAAGATTGGACAACACTTGATTATGGACTGACTGACAATTCCAAAAGAAGCTGCTGTTTCCGAAGGGATGGAATGCTGGGTAAACGGGTTGTCGACATGATGTTTATGGTTGAGGCGGAAGTCCACTGATCTAGTCTGGCTTTCCATTCTTTAGGGGCGGGCGGGCTCGATTGACAACTGGAAGTTGTTGGATCTCGCCCTATCCCCGTTATCTCCACCCCCGCCTGCAGTGCCTCAAGGCAGATAAGGATATAGCGAGGTATGTACTAAGTACAATCTTGGTTCATTTTCAAATAGTCGACTAGTCTATCTCTATACTTGCATGAAATTCGACGCTTGTGGTGAGTGCTCCAATAACGCAAATAGGAAAGTGCACCGCAATCACAGACATCCTGCCTACAAAGCTCAGGTCATAAAAATGTCATTTCACAGCCCCCTTCTGAGTGCTTGAATTGAGGCCCTCTCGAGTTTTGTGTGGGGTTGCATCAGCCCCAGAACCGTCATACCCTCTCCCACGCCCTCATAGATACCACCCGCGATACCTTCCACCCACCAGTCTGTAATATTGATCACAGTCGAGCGCACCCTCCCCTCGTAAAGACCCAAGATGGTAGACCCAAAGCTCATGCTTCGTTTGCCCCAGCTATCTACCGTGTCCAGCGTCGTTGAAATGACACGTTCGGTGACCCGATGAGAGCGCTCGTACTGATAGACCCGCGCAAGGAGTAGCTTCAGGTACGGGACGACGTATCGCACAAGGACAAAGATTTGAATAATAACGAACGCCAGCAAGCGATGCAGGAGTGACCTTCCAGACTTATTAGACCGATGATATGTGTCTGGTTCTGCGTCAGAACTTATAAGCCCTGTTGCCGGCTGGCTTGCATCGCCCGGTACCAATGTGGATGACTGGAGACTTGATGGAAGGTTGTGCCGGATGGTTGCGATCTCGTCGTGAGTCAGTTCTGCGGGTAGAGCATCTAATAGATATCCCAGGGCAGTAATGTACAACGAGCGGGCCAGGGGACCGTCGCATCGGGGCAGTTGCGCTTCATATCCAGCGTTTCGGAGAAGGCTCAGCGCTAATGATAAAAAGTGAGTCAGTTCTGGCACAACAGAATTTCCAGATCATCTTGCACCGAGAACTCCGCGTTCTGTAGTCGGAGGATCAGGGCATAATCCGGACCAATTCAGATCTATTAAGAGGGGATAGGTGTTGCTATTACAAACCAGGTATTACTCTATTCCATCGCAATCCAGACTCCGCTTCGTACTTCGATGATGATGGTACGCCGAATGTATCACCATATCTACCGTCTTCAAAAGCAGTGATCTCACTCATGTCTGGAGCCTTTCCCGATACAGACGACACGCAAGAGTCTCGCTCATTGCTCGAACTATCCGCTGTCGCAGGCCGCGGGAAAAGGTCGCCGCTGAGTGAGTCAGGCAGGGTCTTATAGCACTCCAATTCCGGAATAGAAGATGACGGCATACGCGAGTGCATGGAGGCACTCGGTTGCTCGCCAGTCGTATTCGCCTTGAAGTTTGGCGCGACACCTGAGCTGACCGATCGCTGAATTGTAGAGTAAAAGCCAGGGAGTCGCCGTCGGAGAGATGCTGGAATGACGGGAAAGAGGATGGTAAACGCCTGAGGATAGACCATTGTGTCATGTAAAGGTGTTCGATCATCCATGACGGCCATTATTGACGGCCAAATGCCGTCTTTGACCCTGTATAGTACCTGGAGAGGAGGAAGGGCGAAAGGCTAAAGGGTCTGCGTCAGACATACGCAGGCGGGCGGGAAAGCGTTGAGACTCGCTTGTAGTTTTTCTTAGGTCTACTGATATTATCAGGCCACGGTGAATTTGCACGTGGCTGTGTCAGACCGTTAAGTAGCAGCGACTGATGCATGAAGACCATTTCGATTGCGTTGGAGGGGGAAATCCCCTCGAAAAGCCCCGGCGTCCAGTTCCGAGAGAATCACATGTCAATCACGGATGTCAATAGATAGATAGACTCATCTCGACTCGGTTTCCCTTTCCCTTTCCCCCGATAAGCAAGCAATCCCGCGACAATCCCGAGTCAACCCCGTCAAGGTGCTCCGTGAGTAACCATGAAAACATTCATAGGTACTGGGTATCAATTCATTTCATTCGTTCACGCGAGCCATCCAGGATGGATACCAGACCCAATATACCTAGCCAATCAAATGGAAGTGGCACGCCTGTCAGTTCAAGTTACACGCCCTGCGCCCTACGTCTGACATGTGCGAAACAAGGATCGAATCCCTTTATGAACCGATTTATATTAAGACTAAACATCGCCCGCTTTAACTTCTGTGTCAATTAAAGAACCTTTTGAACGCTCACAAGACGATGACATGACTAACTAAAAACAGAATCCGAGACTTTTACCACCATAACTTTGTCCGTCTGACAATCTCCTAGGCCAATTACTCCTCTTCTTTCGCCAATCAGGCATTCCTTCCAGGAAAATATTGATCTTGTGCCAGAGTGTGGTTCGGATCAGGACCTGCATCGGACATGTACACTTCGTTTTGCTTGGGACTGGGTATAGGAATGGGTGCCGAAGCCATCTTTGACGGAGCAAGTGGCTGTGCCATCGAAACTGCCACATGTGCCTCATGTTCATGGGATATGAAATCATTATCACTTCTGCCGTCGCCTCCGAAACCCAGACCCTGCAATTCCTCCAAGGGCATCTCATCGTACCGGGAATTCAACTGTTGAAGGAATTCTGGGTCGAATCCCATTTGCACGAATGGATCAACCGAAGCGCTCAACGGAGTAGAAAACGCGGTCGGTCCAGCAGACAAACTGCTTCCCCAGTCAGACGACAATTCTGATTGTGGTCTAATGGGCATGATGCCAGAATTCTCGGCATAGCTACCAATGGAGCTTCCAGGTGCGCTTGCTGGGACAGAGGACCGACTAGTTCCTGGAAGCGCAGGGCTGTGAAACCCGGAAGGAGGAGCCATAGGACTGAATGGTTGCTGTGAACGACAGGCAGACCGTGCTAACAAATTGGTTTCCAAGGGTGGCTGTCGCAGTCCGTCCGTTGCGGCGAATGGGGGCTGCATACCCAAGTCAGAGAGCTGGATGTGGTCCGAGCCGGGAACAACCTCAAGACCAGTATCCCGTTTCAGGAAGCTGAGCCAGACCGGGTTGTCGGCACAAGTCTGGTGCCAGCGGTCGTCGGTGCCGTAAATGATCATCCGGGCTTCATCTTGAATCATCTGATCCGAGGGCACAACGCCTGCAGCTACTTGATTGTGTATGAAGGCAGTGAGTTCATGTTTCAGTCGAATGAAGCAATTGGCGTCTTCTGCTACCACGAGTCCAGGCGCTTTGCCTGCTGCAGAAGAAGGCTTGAAGGGATTGAGGGTCTTCTGGTCGTGGCCAATGAGGTACGGTGGCATGGCATTCTCAACGAGGCCTAAGATGAAGGGCTCGAAGCCCCAATCACCTCGCCATTGAGTCATGTTGCTGCCATTCTTGAAATGCGAGGCCAGATGATCGACTCGGTCCTTCCAGGTCGACAGACCAATTCCGCAGAATCCACATCGTGACTTCAATTCAGTGATGCTACTCCGCCATGCATCCATGGATGAGAGAAACTTGACATTGTGCATGAGCCGAAGGTGCTGATTGAGATGATCCTTCCGATAGAAGGAACGTTCCGCAGATGTTTTCTCTTGGCAGGCACTGTAGTTGTGTGACTCCAGGTGGTCCATGTCTGGGTCAACCGCCATGCAGAACACACAGCGATTGGCACCAGCGATAAAGGCAACCCCCCCTAACGGCGAGCAGGTCCACTTCTCGAGGGCTAGATGAAGCGACTTCTCATGACGTTGCCAGTCATACTTTGTCTGGAAGGTATCTGTACAGAAGGTGCATTGAAATATTCGGGCGTTGCGGGTCTTCTGCTGGTTGAACGGGTTGACGGGCAGTGAGGGCTTCCGACGACGACGCCGTTCCTTCCGTTCCATCGAGCCAAACGACCCCAATGAGGAACGGTGTGAGAAGGCGGACGCAAAGGAGAGATCGGATAAGGAAGAGCGACTGGCCGATTGACTGGTTTCATGACTGCTTACTGATGGAGCATTAAACAAATTGGAGTTGTCATGGCTTGAGTCATTGCTGGACCCAGTCTTCCGAGAATGGGAACGCACGTGACCTGGATGAAACGAGCGCGGCCGCTCAGGATCTAGGGACGTATTGTTCAAAGCTCGAATAATATCGGATGTGGCAGCGGGTTCGTTTTCGGGAGGGGAGTGCTTCCAACGTTCAAGAGGCGTCATGGTTGCGACGTCTCGACGTTGCTGCTGTCCGGGGATATCCACTGCTCCGGGCGCTGCTGGAGAACCGCTGCGCGGAGGAGCTCGAACTTTACCGCGTCGCCGAGCGTTGGCAAGCCAATTGCATATCTGGGTTCGTTTTAGACCCGTGCGTTGCTTCAGCTCGTCTTTTTCTTGGTCAGTAGGGTAAGGATAGGCACTGTGGTCCAGCAGCCAGGTCTTGAGGATGCGGACCGCCTCGCGCGACAATCGGGAATTGCTCTTCCTTGACTGGCCGTCCGCTTCCTCGGCGATGTACGAATGGGACTTAAGCGCCTTCTTCCCTGTTAGACCGCCAGTAGTATTATCGATGTTTTCGGCAATCGGGTGTAATGTGTCCAGGAACCGGCCGGGAGCTTCGACCTGCTTCGTGAAACTGCATTCACGCCAGAGAGAGATGCAACAAGTACAGCCACTTTGACGCATCACTCCACTCTTCGCAACAAAGCAATCTAGATTCATATGCCTGCAGAAATCACAGGGCTCCCTGGCACGCCTCATTGGATAGACACCATTATCAAGAAGCGAATTAGGAACATCCACCAATTGATGTTCTTCAAGACCCTGCTTTGGTGGGTCGTTGGAGAAATCTAAGGGTCCGTCTTGGAGGAACGAGTTGTAGTTCGTAGCGGCATCACCCTCGTCAATCTCAAACTTGTCGGAGGCAATGTCATCTTCGCGTACAAGAGAGTGCGAATCATACGAAGCCTCGTCGAAATCGAAGTACTCCATATCCCACTGGACGAGATCTTTTGAGGGAAGATTAAATTCAAGAAAGAAGTCAGTGGGAGGCTTGCGAACAAGTTATCCGTGTCTATCTTCTTTTGGAAGATGAACAAAGAGGAAGATCAGACGAGCAATAGTATGGAGCAAGAGACCAAGTCATGAACTGTCTGTAGAAATGGATAGTAAGCGGGTTGTTGGCGGGCGGACGGGACAGCCAACATGACTATATTTTTCGTCTGGGGTATCAAAAGCACGCCGAACTGCAGAACCCTGGTCGATTTGCGAGTTCCTTCCATGCACCCCGGGGGGGGGGGGGGGGGAAGGGGGGGTTGTTTCATGGAGCCATGGAGCGCTGGATCGTAAACCGTTAGACCTACGGAGTAGCGATTGTTGGGCTCCGGAGAAGGCTGCGTGGTCCGGACGGGGATAGGCGAGCAATGGACAAGAGATCAGGAAAAAACTGGAGCTCATGCAAGACTGCACGCCCTTCCAATGACAGCACCATTCCTATTTGAGGCAAGCGTTGTCAATGCGTACAGCCAACTTTGCGCCCACACTAATCCCGGATAGGCAGGAATGATTCATCTGGGCTGGCAACGATATCGGAGCGGTGGGGGGACGGGGAGGGGGGGTCCGTTGTTATCAAATTATCAACACCGCGATAAACTAGTTACTGAGTACTCGTGACTACATGTACATGTGGATGCCAAGACGAAGAGACTCCTTCTCCTTCTCCTCTACGTACTGCCGTTTACCCGCTATCGAACCATATGATCTCGTTCTCTTTGTCCATTCAATCAATCACTAAGGTGGACTCTCCCTTGCATATACTGCGGGCGCCAACGCGATGTCATTCCTGCTTCCCTTGATCGACTCTCAGCTCAATCACGGAACCTTCTTGTCCGATAGGAACACAGCCTAAGAGATATTGAGGCTTGGCAGACAATGCGGCCTCTTCAGGTGTGCATGACATAGTAGGCCATCACCATGATCAGAAGACTCAGATTGGAACACCGCTGGTCTAGCGACACAACGCCGGAAAGCAGACAGCATCTACCGCAGCGATTATGGTTGATCTTCAGCAGCAGTATCGTCATCTCACACCAGGCCCCCTCCCTTGCCCCTCATCCAGGTCTGTGCGACTACCATCTCTCTTTGTTCGGCTCGCGCCCCCGCGATGTAATCCTCGTGTGGTTCGAGCTATCAAGGTGTTCGCAACTGCGCCAACAAGCGGCTTACAACTACCCGCAATACGAAGACGCATGGCAAGCAGGGAGTCGACAAGAATCACTAGGTTGACTTTGAAGCATGAGGCTGGAAAATGCAAGCAATGCGTTCCCTTCCTCCAATCCGGCACCTCCGAGGATATTGCACATAAGAATAGGAGTGTGAATCAATCAGCCATTGAGCAGCTAAGGTGTTATTACTCAAGTCAAGCCAGTCCGGAGAGTTCGTATGCACAAAGCCTAGTCGTATGCTTTTGAATGTGTTTTCAGATTGGCATGTCCCGGAATTGAAAAGGAATCTCGCCGTTCGATAAACTTGTGCACTTGAGCAAGACTAACTAACATAAGGCTGGTAGCCAAGACCCGCCTTGCTCCACTTAGAACTCTGGATGCCAAGAACTGGAAGAAAATTCGTCGAACCCCAACAGGAGCCGAGGGAAGGAAGCAGCCTGAGAAGCCGGAAAAAAAATATAAAAAAAAGGAGAGGTGATGGATGGGGCTCCTATAGGGGGAAACATACCTCCCGGCTGCTGTATAGCAAACGGCTCCTAACCCACGGCGCATCACCTGACTGTGGACAATGAAAGAGGCGCTAGAATATACAGTACCTGGATAATAACCTTATGCCTCTATGAGAATCACCACGCCTCGTTTTCTGTAAATTTCTCCATTCTTTGTACTTAGTATGTTCACTGGACGGTGACGGTTTACTGAGGTTTCATGAAACACACATAGTATCCCTACTGGCAGAGCATGTCAGTGTATCGGCACTCTTTCAGTAGAATGCCATGGTGTGTCCAGTTTCCATGATCCATGCTCTTGCACTCGCTTTATGTTGCTCGAAGATGACGGGATGTATTATGAGGTTGACTGCATATTGAATTTACCAAGGATCACCATCTTTCCACCCCCTCATGCCATAATGAACACACACTCGATGTATTATATCCTTGGATATCTTTTGTAGAGAAATTAACCGTACCAGAAGTATGTATAGATAAATACAAGGGTATCTCGCCAACCCTATGGCTTGCATAGTTCAAACCAGGTCTTTACAAGCCCCACATCGAGAACAATAATAGATAGGTGGACGACAGTCAATTCAGCCCTCTCCAGACGGTCCATTGTTACCCGAGCCACCAAAGAAGTATCCTTCCAGCATATCATAATTGGCATTCTCACTCCAATCATGCTGAAAATCCATCGCCATGCCAAAGCCGAGGTCGATCCCCACACTGTGACCGACCCCATGGCCTAATGAAGGCATGGCCTGGAGATTGTACTCGGGGTTGTTGTCGTCGGAGGTGGGAATTTGGCCATCGGCTGCACTGCTGGGGTCAAAGTCGAGGAAATCAAGGCTGATAGATGTAGGGCGGTCGTGAGGGGGTTGATATTGAGCACCAGCAGGGTGGCTTGGGTTGTTGCCGGCACCGACACTGTTAGGTGAGGCGCTTTGCTGAGGCGAGTGGGCGTAATAATACTGCGGCTGCTGTGAATGCGGCTGCTGTTGAGCCTGAGGCGAGACAGGATTGTCGTATGGAGACGCGTAGTATTCTAGAGAAGGGGTTCGCTGGGGATGGGGACGAATGGAAGTCCGATCTGGAGGGTAATTGGATGAGGAGGGTTCTGGGTAGTCGGGTCGGGGCCCGCGAGACGGTGGTAGTGGGTATGACTGCACAGGTTTCCTGGACCCATTGTTGGGCCGGTCGGGAACACCAGCATGATCGTTGAACAGGTCACCAAGATTCATGTCGAAGCGTGGCAATGGGCGAGGTGCTTGACGCATAGGGCCGGCACCCTGTCGACGGACGGGGCCTTGGATATGGCGAGACCGTGAATCAGCTTGGTTGCCTGCGTATGCTCTGGCCTGGTTGGTGTGAAGTGCAGCTGCCTGTCGTTGTGCTGCTTCTGCCTGGATCCGGCTGATGTCTACTTGCGATCCGAAACCAGTAGTCGAAAGACACATCTGTACTGTGGCTTTGCTCATTCGCTCGAAGGCGTCTCGACATGCCTCTGCAGGTGGACATTTGTGCATGAGATCCCCAAGAACGGAGGTAGCAGCAAGGACGGTGAAGTCGACCTCGTCGAGTGTCTGTGAACTATTAGAGACTGGGGACAAGAGAATGGTAGAAAGAAAGTAATGGTGAAGTACGTACCAAGCGACTGCGAACCAGAGCTGAATGCCAAATCGCATAGAGAAAAGAGATACCTGAAATCTATTAGCGCACGCTTGTTAAACGTCAGTTCGATACAACTTACCAGCCATGAAAATATGGTGTGTAGCCAGATAAGTATAATTGACCAACCGCACACGATGCATCTGGCGATAGATCCGAATCACCTTCTGCCCAGCCTCGGCGACTTTGTAGTAGATTTCATCCTCGGCCTCCACTTCATCCACATTGGAAAACGACGGACTGGACACGTCTTCAGCAGGCATCATTTCATCTGCCAATTCTGCTGGCACCGTCAAACTCTGTTGATATAGCATGATAACAGCCTGCCAATAATTCAGCTCAAGGAACTCGACGGAGAACTGCACGCCTGTGTCACGGCGGGTTGGCGCACTTTGCTGCCATTCTGCCAAGCGCCTGTGAACGTCTTTGCGCCAGGAATGAAAAGAGTCGAAGCCTTGCAGGAACGGAGATACAATGTCTGCACGAATGGGTCTTCTGGCGGGATATGGCGACCTTTGTCTGAGGAACCGGGCTTGTTGATGCTGAAGCACGTCTTGAATTTCTGATTGCAAAACTCGGAGTTTAAAATAGTGGTGCGCTGCATGCTTATAACTCGGTGCACCCTCGGGCGGTGCCACGATGCCAGACTTAGTGATATATTTATCTTCGAACGCGGATGGGAACTCGGTGCTGATGGCTTGATCGCTGATACCGAATGGGCGACCGACACAGCAACTGACCAAACGATCGAGACTATATACACACCACCAAAGACGGCGACGAAGATCACGCACCCATTGGCGCCGTCCTAGTTCGCGAGTATCAACATGCTTCTTAGGTTTATCGGTGCTCTTGCTTTGGGTACGATTGATGCTCTCGTCCCCGGGTGTATCGATCTCTGTGCCATCCTCGTAATGCAAGCCGAGATCAACTGCCAGTCGCATTGCGACGCCAACGATATACCATAACCCAGGTGCTACAGGTCGCAAAAGAGCGAAACTAGCGAGAAGTAGCACAGCTTGCAATTCCTCTAAGGCACCTGATCCGTCTCCAGAGGCAGTATTCCCAAGGAAGGACTCCAGGTGAATGATTGCAGATGCATGGTACTCTTCCGGTTGATGTTGGTGGCTCGACAGTCGTGGTCTCTTAGAACTCGGGGATGAAGACTGGTCTCGGCCTTCACATTTGCCGTCACCTGATGGCTTATCTTCGAAGATGATACCCGCACCTATAGCAAACACGATGTTGAGTGAGTAAAGGCTTCGCGGGGAGCGGTTCTTCTCGTCAACTGCATATGTCCGATCGAGCATCTCCATGAAGTCAGTCCGATGAAGAATGGGTATCTGAGCGTTTGCATGTTCGAAGTAAAGGGTGACGAGCCTTTCAGCCAGGTCCCGGTCCGGAAATGCCGCACATTTCATGGTCGGCCGTGTCTGTAAGCCGAAGAAAGAATCACGCATCGTACTACCAGCAGTCCCCGTGGCACTGTGCGGCAGGCGCTCATTGGGACGCATTGGCCCGCGCTCCGCAACGCTCCCTGACACGGAACTCTTAACAGCAGCGAAGACGACACGAGCGAAGGAGATCCCGGAAGTGGAGCCCAGATACCGCGGATCAGAGGTTCCTTGCACCGATACCATTCCTATGTTTGATACCAAGTTCTGAATGCGCCAGTTGTCCTCTTTGTTGGGATCCCGACTTTTGTCCAGCTCTTGTCCGCTCGAGGCATCCATCTCCTGTCTCACGACCGAACCGTCTGTCTCCCCTTTCACTCCTTTCTCGTCTCCATCGGCTGTGAGTCCTTCGGCTGTAGACAGTATCAAGGCCTCCGAGCCTGTGGTCGGTGCCTGAGGAGCATCAAGCCCCGCCTCCACTTTCACGGCCTCCTCTTCATCGAACGCAACAGGTTCCTTGTACTCGACTTTATTGTCCATTAACAGCTTTTCTAGATATGCCACGCGAGCCTCGAGAAAGTAGACGTAGCTACGGGGTATTTCGCGTTTCGTGATTGGGTCATAGCCGACGCATCGGACGCCGGCTTTTTCGCAGGACTGACATCGGGGGAGTCGCTGGTCACAGCGATTCTTTCGCAGACGACATCGGTTACAGGCGGAGACGTTGCGGAATGAAGAGGCATTGGAGGCCTGAGACGAGGATATTGAATTTGCGGGGGCGAGCGCTTCACGGGCGGGCTGCTGCTGAGACTGCGCCGGCGACTCTGCAGGCATGGAGGACGTATCAGTTGACGAATGCGGTCTTTTCTTCCCTGAGGAGGCCGGTGAGGGAGGAGATGCGGGGTTCAGCATGGCGGAAGAGGCACGACAAAGGGAAGCGCAAACGTGCGAGCATGTCTCGGGAATGGGTTTCTGGAGATGTTGTTCAAGCGAGATGGGTATAAATAAGAGTGCGAAAGTGCTGGAAACAGCCGAGCATTCATGGTAGGATCAAGCGCTGGCTCCTATCGTATCCGATCGATAGAGTAGTGTACTGTATCGACGCAAATAAGACGCACGTGGTTCTGAGGCCGCCAGTAGCGTATCGTGACGGCGACTTATGCGGTCGGTCAATATTCGGAAGGCAAGGCACAGTTGCAGCCCATGACGCAGGCGGTCTACTTGCACGAGGGCTCTAAAGTCTGGATAGGGATTATTGTCGCGCGAGAGAGACGTAAATCAGGGGGAACTGTGGACACACGCACGGAGACGAACAGAGGGGGGAAGAAAAAAAAAAGCAAGCAAGCACACCGAGGTTGAAGATAGCAAAAATTGGTGGAGACGCTGGAGGAGGATAAGTCTGGGTCCCGGGAGTGTATGGACCGGGAGAAGAATCATGTCAGCACTCACCCACCCTCTCACAGGCACTGGTTCGTGCTAATCTAACTTGGTTAAGTGAGTTGCGGGCGAGGATTCCGCTGACAAAGGTACAGTAACTAAGATGTTAACATACATGAGTACGTATCTATCCGCAGCTGCCATGGTCAATTGAGAGGGTGGAGGTTTGATCTCAGTGCTTATCTACCTCTTTCAGGTTGTAGTAGCCATTGGACTTAACCTAGAAGCGAGACAAAAATATGTCTTGAGGAAGGGCTTGTAAGGAAGCAAGATTGGTGAAGAGATGCCGAGGTCTCAATAAGGTACAGTACTGTACAGTACCTGTCGGGCCACGTGATCTCTGCCATTTCAATCGCCGGGCGGAGACTGATTGGTTACTGATAAGGCAGGTCCAAGTCCGATTAGTACGGTATAGATCTCATGCCTCTCGTATAAGCTTATGTTGTAACCTGGAAAGGACCATGGGGTG